GGAAGTTTTAACTTCTAATGTCTTTTAACTTTTATAAGTGGTATCAATCGGCAATAGTTAAAAGTATCAGCAACCACGGGTGTTGCCATTTTGAAACTGTTAAGTTCACAGCATGGACTTTACGACTAATGACAACACACTTCATTATGGATGCAACGATCGACACATTAACATGCCAAGTTATCAGAATTCATAGAACACATCAACTAAGTGCCTGGTATCCTATAACTCGGTTAAAGAATTCTCAGATCTTAACAGAACGAACCATAACAGTTTATGAAACGATTTTAGAAGGACTGACTTGCATTGAGTAAGAAAGTCGCGAAAAGATTCCGTGAATGCCAGTAATGCGCAGACTGAATGACTGAGCCGATGGCTAATTATGAAAGGACTGTGATACACGAATCCTAAAAGACTAAAGAGTGTTTGAGTATAAATAAGTTGCTAGAACCCGAGCCTATGAAAGTACTTATCATTTATCAGTGTGTGTATGCACAATCTTTGATCAAAGATGTTCTTTGCTTAGATGTTCATTTCGAGGGGCGGTGAAACTAACATGCCACAGATTTCACCGAATCATTCGCGAATTCTGTAGTTCTCGTCACTGATAACACATAAGAAATATCAACTATCTTGTGCACGCACTTTTAAGAATGAAATTTTCAATGAACAATACTTACATCTTACATTCCTTGCAGGTTACCAGATTTAAACATCAGAGAGCCGAGATGTTCGTTTCCATCGCGAAAACCCTGCTTGTTTCAGCACATTTTCATATGTTAGTGTCCAAGCTCCCCGCCATTTTGAAAAACGTACGAGAAAGCGTTCGAGAAAGCATGGCACTATTCTCGTCCCCAGAGTCGCTTGTCACTCTTAGCCGGCGGGGCCTCGGCACAAGGAAAAGGTGACTCTGGAGACACATATAGGCTAACTTCTTGGACTAAGATTTTCACTAACTGGACACTGGTTTCATTTCCGAAAATATCGACCGGTCGATCTCTCCATTCGGTTTATAGAGACAGGAGGCTCTGGTGACGAGAAACTGACAGGGTGTTTTCCTTTGTGCCAGACCGACCAGAGACCAGTGTAATTAACCAAGTAAAATGGAATGTCATTTTCGGTGAAACCTGGTCAACTGAAAGGAATGACTCTTACCATTTTCTGTTCGTTTCCCCAATCCCTCACATAAATGAAAATCTACTGAAGAGAATTAGGGCTATGAACTGATTTGTCAAAATGGAACGACAAATTTCGGTCGGACCGACCCAAAACGGACCTTCCATTTAACTTTCTACCAAAATTTCCGGAATTTTTGGCACAATGGAAAGCACGCGCGCCCACAGACTCCAACACACGCAAGATCCACGTAGAGATATCATGGGTTAGCACTTTTTTTATTATGTCAAATCTTCAAGGCTTACAAAAGAGTTCAAAATTAAAGCAGTAAAAAACCAAACACTTGATGTATACACTATAGCTTCTGTTTCCTATTTAATGTTCATTTATTTCTTGCTGTTATTACTTTGATTACAAAAGGCTAGACCATTTTAACGTTTGCTCTTCGCCAAACGATTACTTAGTCATGCACGTTTAACGATCGATTGATTGTTAGCCACCAAGAGCTAGGTTCAAAATTTCAAGAACAAAAGTCTTTAAAGAGCTTACTTCTGTTACTTTATATAATTGTAATTAAGCGTGTTAAGGCGATAAATGGTTTTCCACATGCTTCTTGGAGACTATTCTGCTAGGTTTCGGTTTCATCTGCAGATTCAAAGAGAGATGTGTGTAAATAACGCCACAATTTCCAAGTAACACAACCAATTTATCATATGAACGTAGTATCTGAAGTAACCTGCGAAATAAAGTCACTATGTGTAACAGGCTGGGAAAGAAATAACAAAGTTATGTAAACCAGCCAATGCTAGTTTTGTCACTTGCTAAAGAAAAGTAACAACACTGGACCAGTCTAAAAAAGTTATTTGTCCTAAAGAAACTGCTTTTAGGAAGACGAGCTCGAGATGCGATAGTCAGCCACTCTATCAAACAACCATTTATTATAATAAGTCTGTCCACTTTCCCTTCCTCCGTCTCTCCCTCTCTCTCTCCCTCCCTCCCTCCCTCTCTCCCTTCCTACCCACCGTCCTCCCCTCCAGGACAACAGTGCTGAATTTAACTCCAAGTTAATAGAAGACAGAGTTATTTTCGCGTGTCTTCCGTTTTCGGTCAAGATCTCTGACACTCTTGATACCCAGCGTCTTCCAAAATCCCTCACAAGCTGGTCTAACTCACCTTGTATCGTGTGACGCTCCGGCAAGTCACCTTGGACACAGCGATGTAATCAATTCCTGTATAACAAGTTTCAATTCCTCAAACTCCTCTATTCTGAACACATTGTCTGCGGAGCCAGAGGCGATAGTGGTCAGTTCATCTTTATCTGTATCACTTCCTACTCCAATGGCTAGCGTCTTGATTCCTCTCTTCTCCAGTTGCCGCGTGTAAATAGTCAAATCGTCGCCGTCCGTGTTTGTCCCATCCGTGAAGAAAACGAACACTTTTGGCACCTATGAATAAAAGGAAACCAGTGGCGTGACACTTGCGTGTACTCGGTGCAAAAAGTGTCACGCGTAAAGCTGGCAGGACACAAATGGAGGTAATGCCGCTTAGCAACGGCGGTGCGGAATATCGCGGGCTCAGAAAATTTAACAATTTGCGAGTCATGTAATTTAGTCTGTAACTTTAAGTTGCAGTGTTAAGATGTAGGATTTACCATTTACATCCAATGATAAAAGTTTTCCAACTGCGGAAAGCATTATTTTAGTTTAAGCATTATTTAAGTTCTCTTAGAATCAAACACAATTTTGTACATTAGGAAATAAATGATTTAATCTATCATGACACATTCATTTAAACACGTTAATTTTAGTCTACAGGACCGGGTTGTTCGAAAACCGGTTAACTTTAACCCAGGTCTAAAAGTTAACCGAAGTATTCATCTCTTTTCTAAAAATGTATTTAACTCCTTATGTTTTGTGTAGTTTGTGATTATTCAGACTCAGAACAGAAGGACACAAAATGTTAACAGAAAACCTCATCGAAAAGTTACAAAACTGAAATCAAACTTCTCGCCAATCCTGGGTTAGCTTAATCGGGCTTTGAACAACTCGTACTCTGAATCAGCCTTACCTCATCTCTCATTTCATATCTTTTGGAAAACAACGAGAGTGTCTTCTTCAGACCTATTCCGATATTAGTAGCTGCACCACTGGACTGTTTTAAGTCTTCCACGTACTCAAGAAGTTCGTCTGTATCATAAAAATCATTAAATCCAACTCTAATGTTCGCCCTTGCAGCGTACTCGAGCAGACCCACATGGGTCCCAGACTGCGAGACATAAAACATCCTGATGATGTCCTTGACAAAGTCCTTTGTCAGGCGGTACTCATTAGCGTCTATTGAATTGGAGCCATCCAGCGCAAATCCCAGGTCAACCACAGTATCGTTGCCACAACCTAACAGGATGAAAATCATAGGGATCTCAGTTATTGTTAAATCTTTTAGATGATTTCTCTACTACTTTTATATTTTTTTCACTTTAGACTTCGACTAAATGTTGTAACCATCGCTATTTTGATTCGTAATCATTTTTACCACTTAACGTGTATTTATATACTTCCATTGAAGGTTTTATTTTTCGATTTTATCTTATTATTTCGTGGCGAATCTGGAAACTTAAATATATCGGCTTTCACAAAGTTGTAAAATTAAAGTAGAAGGTTTACAAATCGGTATTTTGCGGTATATCAGGACGTATATATGAACATTGTTTTTATTTGTTCCTATGCGCTTCTATTTCCAGCCCAATTTTTAACCCTCTTTAACTTCCCTTTTGCACAGTTCAGTACTTACTTTCAGTCTCACACTGTGGTCCTGTGAAACCCAGTTTACATTCACAGCGGAAATCATTCAGCCTCGACACGCACTGACCGCCATTTTGACATTTCAAGTCCTTGCAGCCACATTTTTTCACATTTTTGAACACTCTTGTGACATCCTCCTTCTCTGAGAACGTCAGGTCCAGCGGTCTCTCTCGTAAGTCTTCGTATTCGGATTCGACATCCCGGATGCACCCTTTGAAGCTGTTTCTCGTTCTAGTCCTCTGAAAGCTAAACAAAGAAAATTGACGCGTTTTATTGCCGTTTCTTTCATCCTCACGAACGAAGAAAAAGGTAAGATAAACTATATTATAACACCCATGGATTGCTGGATGCAGATGGTTCGTCCGACTTGGTTCCGACGCTTGACTGAGAATGGTTTTTTGTATCTTGATCTAACAAGGAACGACCCCTCCACTTCCTCGAAACTTTTCCATGAAAAATATTGTTTTGTCGAATTAAAGTGGTGAAGCAAGTTACTGCACATCTTTACTGTTGGCAAAAAGGTAAATTAAGCAAACAAACGGTTATATACATCTTAGTCGATTTGATTGTGGAAAACAGCAATCGTCAACAGGCTTCGAACTTGCAAGACTAATAGACTAATAATAATAATAATAATAATAATAATAATAAATAATCTTTACGGAGGAAGCTCACGTCACATTGCATGGTTTTCAGAGAGGTCCTCAGTAACTAAGGTAAGAGTACAAAATTAAAAACTAATCACAATCAAATCCAAGTACTAATAAACATGGATAAATGGAAAATCGCTTTTAAAATTTAAATCTATCAAGTAACGATATTTAATTAACCTTTAGAAAACCTCAAACTGCAACCAATGAACAACTTACATCTGATCGCGCAAACAGGCCGCAAAAATATACGAAATAGCCCTTTTCACGGTTAACGTTTTTCACTTTCATTGCAACGCAATCCGACGTGGAAGCGAGGCAATTTCGGGCGGAAACTACGAAATTGCCCGAAATTGCCTCACATGCATGCTGGATAATATTACAAAGTTAACCGTGAAAAGGGTTTTTAAAACTGTCTAGTTCTTTCACTTGATTACTTACATTCTGTCTTCAAGAATATTTGTCGCTCCACCCAGGTACACCTTGCTTTGTCCTAAATCCAGATTTACCCACTTTCCCGAAGCCACAGCCGTGAAGCTGTTCTTGAAGTCCACAATCAGTGTCCCTCGTAATCCTTCACGGATGATCTCGACGTGATGCCATTGTTCAAGTTGCAAAGTGAAATCTGTAGATATTTTTGTGACGCCTTGTCCAAGATTGAATCTACATTTCAAAAAGCACAAAAAGCAAATTTTATCAATCAAATTACATCCACTTGTAATTGGTAAAGATTACTTAACCGTCACATCGATGTCGCAAAACTAACGTTCAGAACATCAACGTTTTGTTAAAGTAAATTGAAAGACTTTGGGTAGCACGTCTTGAAAGTACAATTTAATTACTTACTTACTTACTTACTTACTTACTTACTTACTTACTTACTTACTTACTTACTTACTTACTTAATTAATAATTGACTTCTTCGTTTACTTTTTTTTTTATTAAATAACTTATTTACTTCTCAGAAGACGTTTATTGAAATCGTGGGGAGTCACAGGTTCTGATCAATCTGAAGGGTAAATTTGCGTCTTGAAGTTCTAGACTCTCAGAGTATGTTCCCTTGAATAAGGGAAAGGTCGACAAACTATCATCTTTTAGAAAAATGCCAACAAGATTAAAATGTTAGGTTTAGAGACGTGTTGAACGTTGTTTTTCTATCAGGGTGTTATCCCTACTTCACCAATGTTCATGTTGTGAATAGCATTTTGCACAAAGCGCAGGTAATGCAGTAGATAGAAGCAAACAATAAATTAAAATCGTCGATCATTATTGATCGCTATGGATCCGAGATACTTTCAGAGCCGCGGCCAGAAGAGAAGACGGATTTAACTACGTAGTACTTAAAGGAAAGGCACTGAGGGATAACCTAAGGCCACTGGCGAGACTACAGCTCCAAAGAGAAGGGAGCCATCAAAGGATGACAAACTACGTTGATAAAAGAACAACACAGCTATGCGGTTGTTTCGTTCCCTACCTAAATTCCACATATCCTCCAATCATGGCTAACGAGATAAAATCATCATCCTTGGCAGATTCTGCGTACATTATGAGGCCAGACGCTTGTTCTGGACGTATGTCAAAAATAGCAGCGAATTCATCTTTCTGTGCAATCATCAGCTCCAGAGATAACTCCATGTACGAACCACCAATTGCCCCGCCTTGGAAATAAGGCACATTGGCTAAAAGAGAGGTGAAGAAACCATCGGTTTATTAAGATCTAATGGCTATAATCCTTCAATTCACAATAATGACATGGCGAGTTGGGTTTCCTCATTAAATATTATCATCATCCTCATCATCATCGTCATCGTCATCGTCATTATTATCACCGGCACCACCTGAAGGAAATACGAAAAAATATTTAATGCCACACCACACACCTCTTATTTCACAGCGATCACCCAGGAATCCATTCGGGCAGTCACATTGGATCCTGTCGCCATCCACAGAGCATGTCCCGCCATGTAAACACGGAGTCATCATACAAGGATCGAAATTGCTGTTCTGAACTACTTTCCACTCCGCAACGGCTTGGCCAGGATACCCAAGGTCATAGTATACGCCGTTGATGATTAGATTCTTGATGGATCCGAAAAAACCAGCTCTGGTACCCAGCAAGTTTGCATACCTACATCGATAACAAAATTTTGGGGTTGGAAAATTATTGCAAGCGAGTTTATGGAAGGATAAATCCGTTAGAGGAATGATGTCAAACGACTAATGGTACATCTTAAAAGAGGCTAAATTTGTCAGGTTCGCCCTAACCTGTTTGTTTTTGGTTTATTATAACCTTCCCGGGATATGCCTACCTTGATAAAGAAATTGAGATTTCTGCGCCAAAAAAAGACTTACCATATTGCGACCAGTGTTCCTTAACCACAATTTTAATTAAGGTAGCGTTCCTTTTAACCCATGCAGTTTCGGATTTAGTTAATCCAGATTGTTGGAATGTTCATGGGAGCTGGAACAAAAATCTAACATATAATCAGGGCGATGATCGAGCCACAACTAAAAGAGGCCTGGGGATGACTGCATCAAAACAAAAATGGAATGCAGAACAGGTTTGCTCAAAAGATTTGCTCAAATAGAACGAAAATCTAAAACCAGCTTGGGTTTCCAATCTGAACGCTCCATCTCCGGGCATGGATTAATCACTATAAAGCAGTATTGAGAATTAATAATATAGGGCATAAGAATTGTCCTTCCTCACTTTTCAGAAACGCCTTGGACTCCTCCTCCAAGGTACATGTCAGTATCTAAATTCAACTGCGATGCGCCCGATGCGGACGAGCCAGTCACGCGCTGCCCGTTCAGCACAAGGTAGCCGTTAATGCCTTCTCTGTGCACCTGGAGCTGATTCCACTGATTCATCTCAACCTGTAGGTCGCTTATAATACTTGCTGGACCTTTACCCAGATCATAGCTGAAACGATATAATTGAAAAGAAAATGTAAAGACACGTATAGCGTACTGAGTGATTTGAAGCTAAGGAAATGTTTTTCGGCCCAACTGGGAGTGTTTGCCATATTTTGAGAGAAAAAATTTCCTCCGTCAAAAGTAGAATGGAATGATTTTTTCAAAAAAAGTGCATTTGGAAATGAAAAACAACACAGTGCAATATATAGAGGATATCACACGGTGGCGAGAAGATATGAATTTTATGTTCTCGTGGCAAGAACAATATCTCACGAGTGAGCGAAGCGAACTCGTGAGATATTGTTCTTGCCACNGAAAATACGCCACTCGGGTCCCGGATGAAGTGGCGTATGGAATCTACGAGTGGTTTAGTTCCCAGTAAAACACTCTTCTCCATATAATAAGATACGATACGACACGATGCGGTACGATACGGTACGATACGGTGCGATAGGGTGCGATACGGTGCGAGATAAGTGAATACAATAATTAACGCGTCAATTGAAAGAAATCAACTTTGGTGAGATTGGGTATGAAAAAAATACCGAATCTCACATAACTAGCCAAAACAAAACATTGCAGTAGCGTAGAATATCTTGCCAGGTGATAACCTACCTGAAAATGACTCTTCCGCGTTTCAAGATGATAAAGATGAAATCATTGTTGCGATTCCTCCCCGAGGCTTTGTTACTTAGGATAACGCCAGATCGACTGATAGGTCGGAAGGCCATTTGAATATCCGCTGTGTTCTTCACTTGTGACAAAGGTTTGTACTGCATGTAGGAATCACCTTTGAAGCCGATAGACACGTCTAACAGGAAATAACAAACGATAACAACTAAGCGGTTAATAAGTGAAGGGCACGTGATTTTTGGCCGAATTTGGGAAGTTAAAATGGAACCTCGTCTCTGCCTCTTGTGTGTCCGTTTTAAAGAAGTTCCACTATACGTGGGGCTAATTTTTAAGCTCATTCAATAACTAGAACTTTGATTGTGCTGGTCAGAATCAAAATGGACTCGGTTGAAAAAACTAACTGTTCTCGCTTGACCAAAACAGAAACTACGACGACGTTTAAAGAAATGCTCCGCTTCAAAGAAACCTCTCCTCTATGACAATTGAAAAAGGCAACGACGAATCTGTATACTGTAACTATTAATTAAATGCGTGAAGACCAAATCTGTGTAAAGTACTCCAGAAAATCAAGTTTCAAGCAACAAACTACAAAGAGAAGAAAAAGATCTTCGGCAAACGACTAAGATGTTGCTAGATGTACGTGTAATACAAGAGAGCCACTAAGCATGGCGGCAGATTGAAAAGCCTGCATAGCTCAATAAACTATAGAGCTATAAAACGAGAAGAACAAAAGAAGACTAATCCATTTGAAGGAAGTTACAACTTGAGTAAAAACACCATAGACTTGATTGAGCAAACTGCTTCACACCTGAGACAGGAAGAAAGAAGAAATCCAAGAGAAAACTTCCAAACACGATTAAAGATATAGAACTTACGGAGTCTCAGTGGCTTCTCTACAGAGAACCATAGACTGGATTTCCCGGTGACTGGGCTGCTGTTTATTGTTCTTCCAGTTCTGCTAGCACGGCAGTTTCCACCAGTACAGACTGAAGAGAGCACCAGAGATTGTACAAATACATACATACAGACAGAATTGAAGCAAAGAAAGTGAACAGAGTAAATTACGTTCACGAAAACGTGGGCGAAAGCTTAACAAACTCAAGAAACAACTTCAAGGGTTTCATAGAAAGTCAGCATTTATAATCTGTACTTAATGACTGTTGTTTTTGAAAGGAAAACGTTTGAAAGCCGTTTGAAGACAAGCAGTTCTTTACTGGCCCAACCATCATAATCTGTCACATCTTACAGTTGCCTGAGAGAACAAGAAAAGAAAGACAAGGTTGTGTAGGGCCTTATATGGGCAAGAGCTCTTTCCCGGATGGGCAAGAGATCGTTCCCGGATGGACAAGAGATTGTTCCCGGATGGGCACGAACTCGTTCCCGAGTAAGCGAGAGCTTGTTCCTAGATATAAAAAGTCTGGTCCCAGATGAGAAAGAATTTGTTCCCGGATGAATAAAAGCCCGTTCTCGAATGTTGAGGGAATACGCACCACACTGTCCTCGTTTAGTTACAGTGATGCGAGTTTTGGTTCTGCAGGACTCCACTTGAAGAGTGCACTCGTTGGGATACGACTTAACGTCACTACCACACACAGGATCAAAGGACAGTGGACACTGTTTCGGACAGACACACTCAAGAGACCCATCCAGCTGCACCTCGCACTTAGCATAGAAATCACACTTGAGAAGGGCGCAAGGAGCTGAGAAAGAAAGAGAAGATGACAAGAAAAGAAAGAAGATGAACTCTTCTATTCCCTTACGTCCTCGTGTCAAGCTAGACTATTCTCTCTTTCACGAAGACAGCAAGTTTAATCGTTGGCTAAAAACGAGGAGAACACGAAATCTATTTGTCAAAGAAAAAGCGGCAAGTAATAAAAAAGCCACAGGGTTTGCCGAAAAGAACAAATCAAAAGAGAATGTTGAATTGAACAACAAGGCTGAAGATAAAATGTTTTGATGGGATGAATATTTTCAAAAACGTGCATGACAAGATATACAAACAACTCCAGGATTACCAATATAGTGCAGAGTTTACCAAACACCTCAACCCTCAAAAAGACAAGTTACAAAGACAGAAGAGAAACAAGATGTTGTGAGCGCAAATTCTCTCACCGACGTTCAAAAATTAAAGAAAGAGATTAAAGAAAGAGGGAGCATAATGAATAGTGATTGGCGTGATAACAGTCGATATAACTCTGTTTAGTCACTTCTGACCACCCTAAAACAGGGAGACAAGTTTGTTCACGCCAATGTGAAAACCAAAATGTCCAAATGAGCGCATGGCCGTACAGGCACAGCAAAAGGGGAAAAAAGTCACACAAAAAGACAAGACAAACATGACTTACTACATGCTCCTTTCTGCAACACCACGAAGCTCTTTCGTTGTTTGCAGGCATCAGCACGCATGAGGCATTCGTTGATATACGTTTTGCCGTTGCTGCCACAAACTGGCTCGAACTTAAGAGTGCATTTCTCATTGCACAAACACTCCGCCTGTCCGTTCGGTCGCTCCACACACGAGGAATAGAAATGGCATTTAGTTTCAACGCAGCCCAGGACTAAAAGAAGTAGAGATGGTAAAAGGCAGTGGAGTATCGTGTAAAGACGTGTAATACGAATGAAGAAATGTGGAGGGAAATTATATGTTTGAGAGTTGGAGAATAAAGAAAGATTTCTCTTGAATAGACTAGGATGTCAAGGATGGAATTTTTTCCCGAAATTGAGACAAATGCAGTTAGTTATATAGTTGTAAAGTTGTATAGTTGACCAATATTCCTTGAAAGAGAAAATTGAAAACATACAACATCCCTTAGTATTTTAGAACCAGTTAATTTTCATTTTAAGGCGCTACTTCGTTGTTAATTGTCTGGCATTTGATGCATTAGTTTTGGCTCTTTCGGTCAAAGACAACACAGTGACTTATATAACCCAAACGCACCAATATTAAGACACAAGGGGACCAATAAATTAAAAAAAAAGAGTAATAAGACAGAAGAAGATTTAGTTTCCTTACAACATTTTCCTTCATGTGCGAGTACAACTGATCCATTAGTCAGACACGTGTCCAGATCAAGAGCACAGCGGTTAACGTATGTTTTCTTGTTGTTAGCACATACGGGTTCATAAGATAAAGGGCAGCTGAGAGGGCACTGGCACGACTCGGACCCATCCTCCTGGAGCACACATTTGGCGCCATACTGACAGGTAGTGCGAGTGCATGCTGGCAAGAGTGAGCAATTGTAGACACATTATATAACGAACACTGGATGAAGAAGGAAAGGTTTGAGATGAAATTTGTTTCTCATTTTGAGGAGAAAACAAAACAGGATAATAAGATGTAGAAACAAAACTTTCATGTTGTTCAAAGATAAATAGTAAAACGATAAAATTATTGGACAAGGAGGTTCACAAAATAAGAACATGACACCATTGAATGTAGGACAAGTAGTGCCACTGATTCAATATTTGCAGTTAATATATTAAAGAGCATTCAAGTTGATTATAATGGCGCTGATTAAGAAAAAAAAACAAGGCACATGAATAGACTTACAACATCGTCCGTGTCGCACCACAGAAATAGGAGACTGGGTAAGACAGGCATGACGTCTAAGCAAACATTGGTTTAGGTAAGACCTTTTATCACTACCACAAACAGGTTTGTATCTAAAGTGACACAACCTGCATCTACAGCGAGCTGTTGTGTTGGTAATACGCTCGCAGAATCCACCATATTTACATTTTCCTTCGTAACATGGAGCTTGAAAGAAAGTTAAACAATATTAAAGATGGTTAGTACGTTAGTATTGCATTATTAGCTAAAATTCCGAACTTAAGGAGAACTTGTCTCCAGAAAGTGGCCAGTATATCATAGAGAAAGATGACAGGAGAGCAAAGCTTATCAAACACTGAACAACTTACAACTTAGGTCTGATCTCCAAGTTTCAAGTGCATGTAATTTTTTTTCAATTAATAAGTAATGTAAGTTATGTAAATAAGGTGCGAAATTCAAATACAAAAAAACGAGAAAAGAAAAGAAAGATCCAGAAATGTCCGTGGGGGACAGGGATTTGCCTTTTGGCAGACACAGGGAAAAGTTTACCTTTATTCATTTTCTATAAGTTTCCTATGGGTAATGGGTGATATCAGTGATGAATGACTTCTCTTAAGAAAAAGCACGATTCACTGACCGCATTAAGTGAGTGCCATTTTCACTTACTTTTGCAAAATCCTTTGCGCGCGACTGTAATAACCACATTACTATCACAAGCGTCCTTTTCCAATTCACAAGTGCTACTGTAAGTTTTACCATTACTCCCACAAACGAAGATAATGGATGGCGAGCAGGATTTAGCGCACAAGCACTTGGCTGAACCATTAGATACAACACACCTGGCGTGTGGAGGACAACCCTTGCGAGCGCAAGGTGTTGTGGGACTGTCTGGAAGGAAGAAAGACAGTGGAAAGAGACGAAGAATAGAAAAACAAGAAATTGGTACAGTGGGAAAGCAGCCAATTATGTATGTGAGCCTTATTCTAAAAGCAAGAAAACCGATAGAAAAGTTCCTTTATTAGCATCGGCAAACTAAGAAAAAAAGATGAAACTGTCAATCTTCATACCACACGTTCCCTTATAAGCAGCTGTCACTGTCGAGTTTGATTGACAGGCTGCCAGCTGAAGAGCACACAGATTGAAGTAGCTTTTGCGATCTGTGCCGCATGTTGGGTCATACACCAGTGGGCATTTGCTCGGACACACACACACCGCGAAGGTCCTTGACTGAGGCACACACTGAGCGTAAGGTGGACACCTCTTGGAGTGGCAAGGATCTGCGACGTCACAAAAAGATTTTAGGAAGTAGAGAGAACAGACGAGAAAGATTTGAATGAAGCATCGATGGTCACAGAGAAAGATGGATTTAATACCTTATTTGCAGGGAAAATGGAAACAGAAGTAAACAGAACCAAATTTGTTGGCAAACAAATAAACAATTATTACAAGTACACCGAGTTTCTTTGTTGGCCAAATCTCAACAACTGAGAGAGGCGGGTTGTAACTTGCTATCATACGACAAAAATTAAAAGTAAAAGAATTGGAAGATTTGTACACAAACAAATAAGCAATTACTACAAGCGTAACAAGTTTCAACAACTAAGAGTGGAGCGTAGTGATTTGCTCTCATGCGAAGCTATTTAAAATCAGAAGAATTGAAAGATTAAGAACAGATGGCTAAAGGTTTAGATGTCTCGATCTCTGGAAGAGAAATCAATTGATAAATTGATAAATTGATTAATGTGAAAAGCCTCCACTTACTGCATTCTCCAGCGTAGCGAACAGACACGTTTGCTTTACGCCTACATGAAGCAACTCTAAGATGACAGTCATTGATATAAGTCTTTCCATCACTGCCGCAAACAGGGCTGCGCTGGTATGGACACTCACGAGGACAGACACACACTCCGGTAGCGTTATCAGTAGACACACACTCAGCATAACGCTGACAAGTTACCGTGGAACAAGGAGCTGAAGAAGTGTGAATACCAAGAGAAAAAGTGAAACGGGAAAAGGGAAAAGATTAAAGCACGTGGAGAATCGTAAACAGCAAATCGTCCTCACAAACCAGGCACGTGTTAATCACGTGCGAGGTTCAGTGATCAAGAGCTAACCTGTTTTCAAACTATACGTCAAAACAAAGAATACGAATTGTGAGAAGGAAGAGACCACCGAAGGTAATTGCCTGATGCTCAAATAAAGTCTTCTCACTAGTACCATAACAAATAATGGAAAATAAGAAGAATAGTTGATAGGTTGATATACACCAGAAGTTGACTAAGGGTTGCATTTTTACAGTATAAAGGAATGGAAACTGAACCTTGTTTCTTAGAAAGGGGCCTTAAATCACAGGAGAACAACACTAATATGGAAGTTAGAGGAAGGAAATAAAACAGAAACAAACATCCAAAACAACCAAACAGAGTGCAGTGGACGATGACATTCGCAGTTTTAGGTGGCAATGTTAAAACGAGTTTTCTAAAGGTAGCAGATGGGATGGTAGTCCAGCTCTGGCCTGTCTCTGTCACGCAACACTACGCTCGTGACAGAGGGAGTGGAGAACTGGACTAATGGGATGAATACGTTAATAACTTTAAAGGAAAATCGAAACATAGAAACAGAACAGCAAATAAAAGATAGTAGAAAACGCCACAAAGTTTTGGTGTTCAGAATGTCACATCAATCTGTGCAATAGAAATAAATTGAAAGAGAAATAAAAGAAAGAAGTGGAGGACAAAAGACAAGGAAACTCACTGCATTGGCCTGGATGCAAAAGAGTCAAGTTCCCATTCAGAGCGCACGCTGTTATTTTAAACACGCATTCATTGGGGTATGTTTCACCATCGCTGGCACACACAGGATCAAAGACGAGAGAACATCGCTGTACGCATGCGCACTGCGCTTCTCTGTTCTCGTCTAAAGTGCATTCAGAGAAGAAAGGACATTGCTTGGTTGAGCACGGATCTTCTGTGTGGAAAGGAAAAAAAGTAGTTCGATAAAACAGAGTTGAAGAATTGTAGTTTGGATATAAGAGCATGGCTTAGCAGAACTTAGCAGAAAAACAGTGTTCAAATATGAACTGCGAATAAAGACCGTTGAAGAACATGCAAATTTGTGTTAACATAACACAGAAGGCTTATTTCGTTAAGAAAAGGAAAGAAAGTCGGACGGATTTTTCGCAAAGGAAGAGCCAGGATTTCCAATATTACTTGACTGACTGAACTTTCAGCTCAATAACACGGGCAGTGCATAGGTGATGCACATCGAACGCCATTAATATAAACGAGGTAATCGAATTTTTCACGTGACATCATCGTGCTAGCGTTAGTTCCGGTAAGAATAGTACCCCGGCCTAACAGTTGTTATCTTACAAAACGAGTGTAAAAAAAGATCAATCGTCATCATGGTAGCAGTGATGACGAAAGCAATCTAATATGTTGTTACTGTGTTTGTTTTATCCAATAACGTCGTCTCCATGACAACACTGTCTGGTTACCCAACAGTAACTTTGTGATTCTGGTTCCAACTGAGAAAGACTGACTTCAACTAGCTATTTTTAACATGTTTTTGTCGCACGTGGGCTCGAGTTTCCAATATAGATATTGCCTCATGCAGAAATATGACCAGAACTTCTCGCTGTGGATGATTTCCTGTAAGAACTCTTTATGGCTGGTAGTTATTCACGTTCCAGGTTGCTGATTGGACACAGAAACAGGCCGGAGATAGGCGCCGGCCTGATGGACCACTTAGCTCGTACGCAGAATTAACCTCACTGGATAAAGATACCGGACTGGAAATAATTTGACCATAATAATGATTTAACTATCGACCAATGTAGATGTCATCGGGTGATTCTAGGCCTTTGACGAGAAAACCAAAGGATGCAGCGCTATTCTTCCTGTTTTTTTTTTTTATTAGAATCCTGAAATTCATAAGGACGTAACAACTTTTAAAACTTGTCTTAGCTTACCTCGAGCTGAACCAAGAAAAGTGAAATCCATCAATGTCATGAAATAAGAAAAAAGGCAAAACAAAACACTTGGGTTAAGATAAAGACTAATTTAAAACAAAGCAACAATTAACAAATAGAGTTTGCTGTTAGCAAGTGAAAGATGAAGATTTAACGTTGGGTAAATGATCCAACTAAGTCTGCCTGGCAATGAAAAACTACAACGCCTGTGATAAAAGGGTACCAGATCAGTCAGATATCACATTAGACTCTTTCCAAACGTTCATCTCAGTCATGCATTGAACAAGGACATCTCAAGGACATCTCGTGAATGTGGACGCTTGCAAAGCCCGAGAACACTGAGCCATAAAGCCTGCGTCTAATTTTATCCTTGTATAAGGAATTACTTGCCCGAAAGTAAATTCAATTATACGGCAAACTTTCAATGTTTGCGCTCGTTGTGACTGGCATTGTGTGATTCGTTTAGTTTTGGTTTGATACCTGAAGTTGATCATTCAACATACCACAGATTCCGTCATTCTTCTTGGTGATCAACTGTCCCGCTTCACACGAGGTTACCTGCATGTAACACTCATTGTCGTATACCTCGCCATCCGACCCACAGACGGAAGCTAGCGTTTTAGTGGTACAATCGCTTTCCTTGGGGCATTGACATGTGGGTTGCCTGTTAACAGTGACACACTTTGCGTAGTTGGCACACTCGATGTCCGCGCATGTTGCTAAGGACAGAAAATAAAACACAGTTTAACCACAATTGCAATCGAGCTTTAGAATAGGATAGGACAGGTTTAAAGAATTCTAAGTAAACACTGGAGTGGCGCGAGTTTTTTTAAGCCAATCTTTTAGAGTATTGATGCCAAACCAAAGCAAATACGAATTACATTCGACACTCAACTGAAAACCGCTCAAAAATTTCCGTTCCGTATCAACAAACTCTCCATTAGAACACATACCACAGGGTCCTTTTTTCTCGACACGTAGCGGGGTCTTGGACGCACAGGCCGCTACTCTCATGTGGCATTCTGTGGCGTACGTCTTTTTGTCACTGGCGCAAACTTCATCATCTTCCACGGGGCAATCTTCTACCTCAGGGCACACACATTGAGCTAGTCCTGTCTGGGTTATCTCGCATCTGGCAAAGAACCTCTCACAATTTGCCAAACGACATACAACTGTGAACAGAACGATGAAGAAAATGCGTTACGTTCATCGCATAATCCCAAGACCCGACAACTAGTTTTCTTCCTTCAATGGGTTCGACTAAGATGGTATCGTTTGGTTGACTCTTCACCAACGTAGAGACGCCAGTGTCAGTTTGTGTTTCGTTGTTCCCTTTTCTACATTTATTTTGACAAAAGAACTACGCAGTTTTAACAATATTTACTTCTGGGATCACTTTTAGTATCCTAAAAATGCTAAAATGAATATCTTACTTCAACTGTAAACCATCGACCACCTATCAAATTAAGCGTCCCTATTTTCAATACGGAAGTCTGAAGCAACTCGGAGCGTGTCTCCCCTTAAGAGATAGTATACTAGTCCATAACAGGTTTTTGGGATGCTGTCATCTCAGCTGTCAGGTTGTAGTAATTATTTCTTAGTAGCAGTTTCAACTCCAGTTTGACAGAAGCACCGTGAAAGTACACTGTTTTGTATAAGAACCAACGCCTTCTATAAGCCCCCTCCTCCTCCCAAAGCGACAATGGCATTTGAAATAAATGCTTCCCGAGGGAGTGTTTAACAGAGAATGTAAGATATGTGTAGGTGCCATGGAAACAAAAGCGAAATCAATGTTGTCTTTTCTTAGCTGATACATTGATCTAATATTCTCGTACCACATATTCCGTCATATGCGGCTGAAACATCTTTTCTCATCAGACAAGCTCTAGCAGTCATCACACATTCGTTGGGATAGTTCCTCCCGTCACTACCACACACGGGTTTCACATCAACAGGACATTCACTTTCCACGGGACAGGTGCACTCTGGGTAACCTCTTGTGAAGCGACACCTCGCGCCATACCGACATGAAATACTGGAGCAAGGCAACACAACTAGGCCTGCAATACAAATAGGTCAAAATGTTTGAAAAAGTTGGGCCAAGATATGTTGTAGTGATTCTTGAACATATTAGTCATGGTTTTAGTGATGTTGGAAACTTTTTGCTTTGGGTTGAAGGACCATCAAAATAATTCTTCAGTAGGGTAAAGAAACATAGACAAATGATCATAAAACTCCATACAACAAGAAAGAGAAAGAATGGGGAAGTGTGTGACTGATTGCACATGAGAAACACGAAAAATTTAGACAACCGTTTTCGAGACTAGCTATCCTCAAGGTAGCTTTATACATGAAAACGATATCCGTGTAATAAAACAGTTTCATACAAATTGATTTCAACCAGGTTTGTGTTTGGCCGACAAAAAAATCACATTACTAATGAACATGGGTGCCAAATCGTCTGATGGAATTTCTAAAACGACATGTTTTATTCCGTTTCCCGCCGTAGCAAAAAGGGCCAGAAAAAAAATGAAATACTTTGAGTAAAAAAGGTCAGTTATTTGTAAACTTTCCTTTAATGATCTTAAAGTTATCTATTTCGAGAATAAATACTAACCGCACTCCCCAATAAACTGAAGCAGAGCCTTCGGGTGTTTCCCACAGTTCTCTGCCCTCAACGCACACTCACTGGAGTACGTCTTACCGTCACTACCACACACGGGCAAGGCTGCCTGTTCGCGCAGGCACTGGAGCGGAGATGGACATACACACCTTGCTTGTTTGTTACTATCAATAACGCAACGCTGGTATACACCACAGCGCTTAAAAGCGCAAGCATCTGTTAAATACAAGAAAGAAAATATAAGTAAGGAGACGGGCTCGTTTTACATGGCAGCTTTTTACAGAGTTTGCACTTTTCCCGTGCATTTTCCAAACCAATATTTTCTTTTCTAGACTCAGAGTTATGAGTAAACAACAGGAATCCAAACCTCGATAAAAGGAAGCTCCAAACTTTAACCATGATGCATCGCCAAAGCACAGAAACCGCAAGGCAATGTAGACAAAAAATTGTAATGTCAGAGTGAAGGGTGGAGAGAGTTCGTGGGATTCTACGATTGCACATTTTGGCTAAGATGAAGTTTGCAAGAAGTTTGAGCGGGCTGACAAGCATTTCACTCAGCAAACAAGCATTACATAGCTGCAGCTTGGTGAAAATTCCAGACGTTTTTGTTTCAGTTTTTCCAGATTTTATCGTCATTTTTCATACTTTTTATGGTCTTGAAAATAGTTTGTAGTAGATTTTTATACTTTTTTGTCCAGAATTCCGCACTCTGCACGAACCCTGTTTCCAGCATGACCAACATTACAGAGAAAGCAAAATAAAACTGAATAATACGCAGATTTGAATTCAATACCGCATTCTCCTTTCTTAACCACATTGAGTTCTCGTTTGATCTTGCATGCTTTGGCTCTCATATAACACTTGCTGGGGTAAGACCTTCCGTTATCAGCACACACACGCTCGTCCGGAGAAGCACATCTCGGGCACTGGCACTTGGCTTTGTTGTCAACAACAACACAATCCTGGTACGACTTGCAAACATGGAATGAGCATGGATCTAAATAAAAAAAAATGAGCAGATGAGTTTACATACGCTCGTTACAAACTTATCAAGTAACAACTGTTCCGCAGCCCAAACTATGATAACCAGTACAATGGGAAATCTACGAGGACCTGCAAACAGAATCAATCTGTAAACGCTAACACGCTTTAGTCGAAATATTTCTATTGGCATTTCTTAGTAACATAACCGCGATAAAGATTTAAGAACATTTTTTTAAATTATAAAATAGTTCAACGAGAAAAACGCGTCATGTAAGCGAAGGTAACTGCCCTCTTTACTTAGCGAGGGTTATTTCACATTGAGCACAGAACCCAAGGGTGACGGCGACACTTTTCTTTGCACAACGCAATCGTCTTCACTCACCGCATTTCCCTTGTTTCATTTCCATCTTACGTCCGCAGGCAGCAGCCTTAAAATAGCACTCATTGTCATACGTGATGCCGTCACTTCCACATACGGGTTCCTCTGTATCTGGGCATTCAGCTCTTGACTGGCAGACGCAGCGGGTGCCACCGTCAGGTTGAACTTCACATTTGGTTTGATTTGCGCATACAACGAATCTACACGGCTCTGAAATAAAACAGGTACAGGATAGTTAACTTGGATGGCGTTTATTTATTTAAGCCGAGTAATGCCTTCATTTATGGCCTGTCAATAATTTGGATTTTAACTCAATTTTGCAGAGCAAGATCCGAAAACCAAAGAAAAAAAAGGTTTGAAAAGTTAAAAGGTTATTCAAGACAAACTTGAAACATGCAGCCTCAGGTTTTCATGTTTGTGAAATTGCAACGCACTTCCATCCTCGGCAGCGCAGGACTGGTTTCCCAACAAGTCTTCCTCCACGTTGGGGTATATACCATCACTAATCAAACATTCTTGGAAAATCGAGACCTTCTTTAGAAATAATCCTTTTTGCTGCCATGACAACCTGTGAATTAGCTGGAGTAATCTGATGTGCTCCATTACAGCAGCTTAAACAACCAAAATCTAAAAACTGCTTCAATGATATCACACATGGAAATCGAAAAAGCCATAAGAAGTTTTTTTGGAGATATACCCGGCTCTCATCTTACCACAAACTCCGTCTTTTCTCTTGTCCGTGTTTTCTCTCTTTTCACAAGCGATAACCTTCATAAGACACTCGTTGATGTAAGTTTTGCCATCAGTGCCACACACTGGTTTAACCACGGGCACACAGTCGTCTTTCTTCGGACACACACATGTGGGTGTTCCATCAGGGGCGTTATGACACACCGCATACTTTGGACACTTTATGATGTTGCATCCGCCTGCTGAAAAAAACAAAGAATGCACTCAAAAGAGTACACCATCTGATCACCAACCTAACTGGAGAGAACATTCATTTCTTCAACGCCAACTTAAAGGAGTTTTGTCACGGCTTGTGCATCTTGAAAACCTTAGCTTAAAATTCTTCAAGTTCGTCGTTTGTAATCTGTGTCAATCTTCTCCATCCTTGATCATCCTTGTTCCTTTATGGTTTATTAGTATCTCTGAAGTGCTTTTCTATCGTAGTAAACTATTATTTTCAGGTTTCCTTCAATTGAAAGGTGATTTTGTACGTAGCCAAAATAACTCAAAATACCGTGACTGAGCTGCTTTGAGGAAAACTAAACACAAGCACGGGATAGTTTATTGTTTGTTCCCACTCCTTCTCTGTGATTCGGTTAGTACAGTGACTTATTGTTAGCTCGATGTTTTATTTCATTAACTGGGATTACGTTAGCTTAGACATAACTATAACAAAACGAAGTCAATGTGAATCTCAGCCTACACAGCGCAATGAACTGACCAATCAGGATCAAGCGCGGGAAAACATACAATCGTAGGAAAGGTCCAATAAATAACGTAACGAGAGCCAGATGACCATTGGTTTTGGTTCGGCACCTGAGAAGCTAAGAAAACGATATGACACAAATAACGCAAGTACTTAACTTTTCAAGGCACAAGTGACTTACCACATTTGCCTTTGTGTGACAGGTTCAATGATTTATTCTCCAAAGCAGCGAGGCAAGACTTGACAAGGAGATAACATTCATTAGGATACGCATTGCCATCTGAACCGCAGACCGGCGCCGGAGAGTAACTGCAGTCACGGACATTCGGGCACTGACAAGTTGCCTTGCCTTTCACCAGTTTACAGACTTGATTCGCGGGGCATTTCATTCCGTTGCAAGTATCTGAAGTGGAACCACCACAGGAAAAAAATAAATTATATTCCAATGGTAGCCCAATAAATCCGGCTACCAAAGAGCCGGTAAAATCTAGCTGAAGTAAACAATAAATCTGGCGTATTATTAGGACAACCGTATACATGGAACTCTCAAATTTAAAGAAAATGAGGGAGGTCTTGTTTGGGCTAAAATGAGAAAGCAGTAAGGGAGGGGTGGGGAAAAGGAATGGTGGCGTTTTGTACCTTGTTTTTCTTACGGAACGTCGTTACCAACTTTCAGTCGGTAGTGCTTCCGTTCAGCCGAGATATTTGATTTGAAATCAAATTAAGTGACACATTCGTCACTCTTGCCAACCTATCCACCATCATTTGAATTGAAGAATACATTTTCAACAAACGCGAATTTTTGTCTTAACATTTCCATCCAATATGGGTACGTTAGAAAGCCCTTTTGGGAAACACTTCTCACTCTGCTCACCATCTTCTTTCATAATCACGCCTTATTTCTCACACAGCTAACAGACACAAACTGTCAATTCGCACAAAACAATACTATAGACCTTACCACATCTGTCTTGTTTAGTGACCACAAGTCCGCCGGACCCTTTGCACGCCTGTGCCTTTAGTTTGCATTCATTGTCGTACGTTTTACCGTCGCTTCCGCACACCTTCTCGCCAGACAACGGACATTCATCCTCTCGAGGACAGCGACACTCGTGATGACCGTTGGCTTTGACGAAACATTGAGAGTTTGGAGCTAAGCACTTCACCAAATCACAGATAACTGTAGAGAATAAAAACACTGAATCAGCAAATAGTATTAAGTCGAACCTCTCCTTCTTAACTCTATGTTACCGCAAGCTCACTTGGTCCAAGGGAAGCGAGAATATAAACAAGCTTTACTTGTTAAATTCGCACGCCTCGATGTGGTCGGTCGGTCTATCCGCTGGCTGGTCGATTGGTCAGTCGGTCTATCCGCTGGCTGGTCGACTGGTCGGTCAGCCGGTTGTTTGGTGGATGGATCAGTCAGTTGGTCGGTCAGGCAGTCATTCAGTGGGCCGAACAGTGGGCCGGTCGGCCTAGTGGGTCAGGGGGTCAGTCCGTCGGTCACTCAGTCAGTCAGTCAGCCGGTTGGTCGTCGGTTGGTCAGTCGCTCCATCCGTCATTCAGACAGGCAAACAGACAGAAAGACAGACAGTCATTCATTCATACAGTTAGTCAGTCAGTCAGTCAGACAGACAGACAGACAGTCATACAGTCCGTCAGTCTGTCATTAAACCACTTACTGTCTACTCACCACAATAACCCCTCCTTTTGCGTGAGACTTTCTTTCCTGCTTTACAAGACTTGGCCTTCATGACACACTCGTTCAAGTAGCTCTGACCATCAGAACCGCAGATCAAGTCTACTTTCCAAGGACAGTCAGCCTCGGACGGACACACACACTTTGCTTTGTTGTCCTTCACTTCACATGTTGCCTGGCTGTCGCAGTTGGCTGTATCACAAGGAGCTGTGGCGACAATTAAGAATAATTATCAACAATGGAAACCAGAATAATTGTACAAAAGACACTGTGGATTTTGGAATCGCGAGTGCACACCAGGTCTCGCTTTGATAAAGAGACTTAGGTCAACTCAGAAACGGGCTATTTTAGGTTAGAACTGATTAGTATATTAGCATGAACAAGAATGTATTCATGTCCAGAGCCAGTCTGGAACGAGTAACGTTAGGTTTGTTGTAACTTAGAATTAAGTTTGGAACGATTTAATAACGACTTTCATAGTTTGGTGTTTTCGTCCTACCGATGATTGCTAATAATTTCTTAAAGGATCGTTTCAACTTGTCTTTTTTTTTTCATCTCTCATAGATTGAATTTCCTTTAAAAGGACGGAATCCCCCAGCCCTATCACTTAACCTTCTAGTCCCGGTCTTCCGGGCCCGATAACCTTTGCACGCTAATTATCCGAATTTTGGAACTGACAGAGTTGTAAAAACTGAATGCATCGACCTTAACCAATGCTCACCGCATTTTTCAGTAACGACTGGGCTGATTCTCTTGCCCTTCCTGCAGGAGTCGACCTTCATAAAGCACATGTTGTTGTACACTTTATGAGTAGTTCCATCGCTGCCGCACACGGGGACCTTCCCAGCGGAACAGTCGCGCACATCTGGACAGCGGCATTCCACTGAACCCGATTTACTGGCACACAAGGCGTGGTTGATACAACTCTTCAGCGAACATGGAGTGACCACTAACCCTGAAAATCACAGGCACGCGATTGGTATAAAGCAGACGCATGCGCAACGTACAAGTTCTACCACAAGGAGGAGAAAGCGAGTCATTTAACAGATATCTAAGCGACGTAATAATTAGAAAAGGATAGCATTCCAATTTCAGGGTGAGTTTTTGAAGTTGGAATTAATCTAGAAGGTATAGCGCTTTTTATCTTCTACGTGTTTATCAAAACCTGAAAGATATCGGGACCACCTCAGGAAATTTCAAGACGGAAAAGAAAAAAAAAGAAACTTTTATACTCCTATATTTAATAGCAAAAACGATTTGGCTTCAACGCACTCTGGAAAAGAAGCCATGAATTTAATTGAGCTATAGAAGTTGATAACTTCACCTAAGAAACTCGACCTTCTGTCTATTGAACATGCTCTATGACCATCAAAAAACTATAACCTTGAATCTGTACGTGTTAAATGGTTACTTACCACAGCTGCCAGGTTTAATAAAGAGCCGTTTGTTCTTCTCACATGATTCCTTCCTTGCTTTGCATCTATTTTCGTACGTTTTGCCATCACTGCCGCACACGGGCTCGCCCAAACTGGGACAGAAATCAGGACAACTACAGACAGCTTTACCTTGAGAATCCACCTTACAGTCTTGGTCTGAAGGGCAGACTGATTTGGAGCACGGAGCTGATAGGACAAGACAGATTAATGCGAGTTAAATGAAGTACATTCATAGATAAAAATTAGAGGGTTTAAGAAAACCGCAACGGGAACCGTCACTAGACAATAGCAATGGAATGGCTGTATACGTGATTTTAATTCTTGGTACATTTCTTTATGATTTTATTGTATTGCAAGGTGGTTACAACATTTCAGTGAACAAAAGTTGTAAAAAGTTGTAAAACTGTGTAAACACTCAAACGAAAGCTTTCGATGTGTGAAGTCACGTGCAAGCCTGTTTAACAAGATGTCAGTTAATTTTGACATGCGTAAAAAGGTCATTTTCAGACATCGCTAGCTCCGAAGAAGGCATAACACCCGGAAAATCAGCTCTCCAAGTCCCCTTTGATTGCTTCATTTAGCAACCGACGCATTACAAAAGTTTCGCTAAAACTAATCTTCTGTCTTGAATTTCAATCTCGGCAGCAACAGACTGCGTTCCTGCCTTCTATTACATTATCATTAACTGAAAAATGTGGCCCCTAACACTAAATCTGCGAAGAAAAACTGGAATGAAATCATCAGAGCTGTAGAAAAGTAAAAAGTGAACAATCTAAGAAATCTGAAATCTATTAATTTTAAATAGAAATCTACTAGTGTTCTATCACGAATGCCGTTCTCTGATTGGCTACGCTACTCAATATCTGCTCAATTTCCGCTGTAGGTAGTGAGTAATCCATCAGTGTGTGCTTCCTAATAAACTGGCGACCATTTCTTTGCAGAGGATTTAGATTAAGTCTTGAAAATTCATTTGATTTAAACCGGCTAAAACAATTACATTACTCGCTCTCGATTTCTATGCGCGATAGTTGATTCAGGCTGCGCCCTCGTCAACTATCACGCGATAGAAATTTCAAGTTCATAGTCTAATAGTTGAGTATATTCTTGTAAAACAAAACTTCGCCATGTTATACTCACTACACTGTCCTTTTCGCTTGACTTCAATTTTGTATTTCAGGGCACAAGACTCGGCTTCCAAGAAGCACTTGTTTCGATAGGTCTTAGCATTGTCTCCACAAACCGCTCTGGCGGCATTTGAACACTGGTCAGCGGTTGGGCACGTGCACTGTGCAGTACCAGATCCATCATCTGCTACGGTACATATACCGTAATAGTCTTCGCAATCCGACAAAGAGCAGGGACCTGGAGAAAACAACATAGAACAAAAAAATACTTGTCTAACGGGATAAAGAGAGCAAGTCAGTGAAAGCATATTCTGAGATGTAATTTTCATACCGCATACTCCATTGTGTTTCGTTGTAACATCGGTTCCCTCCGCGCAGCTTTCCGCCTTCAGCTTGCATTCGCTCTCGTAAGTCTTGCCATTCGTACCACATACGGGATCATTGATATCCGGGCATTCCTCCGCCCGAGGACACTCACAGGCCGTGGAGCCGTCAGGTATCAGTTTGCACACGGAATGGTGTTTACAGTTGGCAGCTTGGCAAGGATCTGAAGATCAGTAGAAGAATAAACTGGCGTGAAGGGAAAAATGGCAATATTTTACGCGGCTAATAGGCAATAATCGTTTGTCGAGGCGGATAACGAATACTAGTACGGAGCCTTTCCCCTTTCAAATGAAAGTGTACTCGATGTTGATTTTCGTGCAAATTTCTACACCTTTTTACGAGGTTTGGCACCGAACGTAACAGAAACACCACAGACAAATGGCTTATTTATTTGCTTCCTTTCCAAAATTTCGTCGCCTGTCAAAAGCTATGCAAACTAAGCGGTAATTACGGACCTGACCTCTTGCAAGAACTTGAAATCTGTGGATTTAACTTGAAAATGAAGGCAGAAATCTGGAGATCTCCAGAAACGAGCATCTGAAGATTTGCAATGGAAAAATACTCTAAAAACACGTTAATCTGCCATTAAGATTTCACTATCTTTCAAGGGAGTTATAAAATGATAGGACTTAACGCTTCATCCCTTCAGGCCAGGTAAAGAACATTTCAAAGAACATTTAGTTCACCGACAGTGTAACCCTACCACACACTCCCTTCTTGATCACTACAAGCGACACTTCTGTGCTGCAGGCTTCAACTCTCATTCTGCACGAGGTTATGTAATTTCGCCCATCGCTGCCACACACTGGATCATAATCTCTTGGACAGTCATCTTCTGTCGGACACTTGCAAGTGGGTGTATTCAGTTTACTTGTCACACACCGCTTGCCTTGAGAACAGCGGGTGTCTTTACAAACCACTGTTAAATACAAACCAAGCGGAGATATACATGTAAATCGACGAAACGCTAAACCAGAATTGAGTTATAAAGCAGCTTTCCAAGCAAAATTGTGGTAGGAAAATGAAAGTTAGTGTTGAATGTTAAGTTAAGTTCGTGAATGTGACGGCAATAAAAACGTAAAGTTCAATGTGACCTGTCATAAACGCGGGAAACATAGAGCGGTTTTCAGTTGAGTGTCGTAAAACCAAAACCAAAGAAATTAATCTAACCAATCACAAAGGACACAGACAATACAGCGAACCAATCAAAACTGACTGTAATTACAGGTAGCTCACGCGAAGCGCGGGAAAACGTGTGCGAGCGAGTCACGGTTGGTCTTATTTTACTTCTGATTGGACGGAAAATAGGCGCGAGTTTTTTAGGCCAATCGAGTAGCGAAGTAATGCAAAATCACTTACTTTGCGACACTCAAGAGAAAACCGCTCTAATTCTGTTAGTTACTTCACTACAGTCCAACGTTAGATTACATCAGTATGTGCAGCAAGTTTGACATACTGATCGAGGCGGTAAAAATATCGGATTTGGCGTTAATTTTATACATAAAGAAATGCATTGCGGTGAAAATGAAAATATAACTGTACCACAAGGACCAGCATGCTTCACTCCAACTGTTGTGTTGCTCTCACACGACTCTGCCTTTAGAATGCACTCATTCAGGTAGGTGTTTCCATCGGTGCCGCACACACGGTCCTTCTCCTTGGCACAGTCCTTCTTCTCGATGCACTTACAGGAAAATGTACCGTCCTTTTGACCCATGCATACTTCATTTGAACGGCAACTATTAAGTCTACAGGATCCTATGGATAAAGTAGATAAAACACGGCATAACTATATTTTAACACAACTTGCTTTGTATGGGTAATTCAAAGGTGACGAGTGAAAGAAAGGAAATAATTTAACGCGCGTTTTGTCAAAATTCTAATAATGGCTCAGAAATTATTAGAATTTTGACAAAACGTAAGTGAAATTATTCTTAATTTCACGAGTGTACCATTTGATCACCTTTAAATATAAGGGATGCCAAATTACGCTCACAATTTTTGACTCGTTTGTTGTAGCGAGAAGTTTCGCGCAATTTTGTAATTTCACTTGTGAAATTATAAATTAAGGCTAAAATTTCGAGCCAAAATATAGGAGTACTTTGTCACCCATGATATTATGGTTGTAACATCATAAACAGAGTTGGAATGCTCTTTAATTTTGCAACAAGATGGTTTGAATTTCTTCCACAATACCCGAGACATGAAGACCAGTTCATGGAAAAGGGTTTTTGCGTGCTTAAGTTTTAACTAAATTCGAGCACAACCAAAAACAAAATGTGCTTAAAGGTATTGTTAAGACTTACTATTTGGAATTAAGAAGAATTGAGGTTTTAACAAATCACGATGCACCCAGTCATTGTTGCCATACTATAACTCAGTTAAGCACTCACCGCAAGGTCCTGTATGACGCACGTCTACCTCTTTGTTATTTGCACAAGCCGCCACATCTAAGAGACACTTGTTGATGTATGTCTGTCCGTCTGAGCCACACACTCCATCACCATCTTTAGGACACTCATCTTCTGTCCGGCACTTACACGTGACCGAGCCGTCAGCATTTCCAGTGCAGGCCGCATTGTTTTTGCAGTCCTTAGCGAGGTCACATGGGCCTGAAAGGATCACCCATGCATACAATTATAAAAATAGTGTAACGAAGCATGGCCAAGGGGTTAGGGCGTTGGTCATGCAATTCAGAGGTCCCTGGTTCAAGGTCACAATCCAGGGCCTAGCTGGAATTTACTTCTTCTAGCAGTGGTGAATTGGTTAGTAGCCTAACTGTTCATTCAGGTAGAAATATTTGTTTCATGTACAACCTCGCCCTTCCCAAGCAGCACACGTTAGCAAACACAAGCTATTATAAATCAAACAAAACACAATTACGTTTTATTTTATATTTTTTCTTGCACAAATAAATACCCATTCATTGTTTGATGTCGACAAATTGTGATGTAGAGACTTTGCTTTTAGAGGATAACACTCGACAGTGGCTAAAATTGCCTATAGACTTGTGGCCCACATAAATTATATTCACTCACCACAATAGCCATCTATCAAGACGTAAACTGACATTTCTTTCAGACAAGCCTTTGCTTTCATCACACACTCGTTGAGATATGTTTTGCCATCACTGCCGCATACAGTGTTAACAGTCATAGGGCAGTCCCTTTCATCCGGGCACTCGCACTGAGCGTTCCCTTGAGAGTCCACCGTGCATTTCTTGGGTTCTTTACATTGCACACCAGCACAAGGCTCTGAAATAAAATTCACAACATAAAATGTCTGAATGGAGCACCCATGTTGGCAGGGCATTGATCACAACAAACGCAAAAGACAATTGCCAACATTTTTGAAGAGCAATATTAGGGAGCTTAAGCAAACCACGACGACGACGGCAACGAGAACGTCACCAAACAAAAAGTTTAATGAGCAAAACAACAGCTGTGCACGTGCGTGATAAATCTTTTTACATTTCTTTGCCGTCCTCTGCAAAACAACAACGTGAAATGACCAAGTTTTGCGTAATCTGAAGAACGCGAACGACGACGGCTAATGTTTCGTATTTCCATTTTAGAAATGAACGCTGTCATTGCATATTTGTCTGAGCACTTTCCGAGAGCCATTGGCGTGGTGAACAGATCTAGAAGTTGCGAATTTCGCCGGTAAAATATAAATTGATTTTTGACTAGGCGTTGTGCTCGGCGTCGCCGTCGTCGTTGCTTAAGCTCAAATACTTTTTTTGGTTCTTTAGGTGAGAAACACTTAAAACAACGAAAATATACTAACCACACTTTCCAGGTCTCTGTGCATCGACGGTTTCATTCATTAAGCAATTATCCACGTCCAGATAACACTGATTGATGTAAGTCTCGTTGTTCTGTCCACACACGGGAGCCGCAGTCTGGGGACACTCCCTGACGTCCTTACATGAACACTGTGCATTTCCATCCTTCACTTCGCATCGTTCATGTTCCCTACATATAACACCAGCACAAAGACCTAGAAAGGAAAGTTGCCAAATGCTTTAATTAAAGGTTATCGTATACCTTTAGAGGTGTCTCGCGTCCAAGCGCTGTAGCGCGTCCGTTTAAACTGTAGATACCTGACCCCCTATATCAAGTTAAAGCTTATAGAGCTGGCTATCAATCTATACGAAGAATTTTGAAATACAATGAGCTGTAGAATTTTTCACGACCTGTGAATGCGAGTATCCGAATCACCGTCAAAGGTGAACAACAAAATTCATCTCACTGATTGTCATAGGTTTCCTTCACAGTTCGTTTTGAGAATTTGGTGTTATATCAAAACTATATCCACTCGTTGTATAACTATCTTTATTCTTATCACCCACCTACTTGATAACGTATTAATATACACCATCAAAACAAACCATTGTAAACTTAACATTCGGTTTGCAGCTGTAAAAGTTTGGAATAATTTGGAGAAAATATGAAACACCTCCCCCTTTAAAGTTTCAAATACAAAGGTAAGTTTAGTATCTAACGCCTGGCCAAACGGAGTCGCAAGTGGACCCAAGCGTTCAATTCAGTGATTCAATGATATTGCCAACATTTATGAGTTTTCATCTGGCACTTACTAGTGACTTATTTATTACCAATTTACTTTATTTCTAGGTATTTAGTGACTTATTGATTTATTCTGCTTACTTATTTGTTGTTGTTATGTTTTTTTCCTTTTATCCCCATATTTTGTCTCCTTTCTTCTCCCCCCTTAAAAGCTTTACTGCCAACCAACTTCTTTATATACGTACTATTTAATTTCACCCAGCTCGAGTAGCTTTTAAGTTATTCTGGGTGAATTTACCTAATTTTCTGTTACAATTATCTTTTTTTGTAACTAAGAGTTTTTTCTATTTTGGTAATAAAGTGTGTGTTGTCCTGTCTTGTTATATGTAAGGAGAAACTTGATTTCAGATCAAAGCTTACCACATGGCCCCAAGTTGTCAACAGTGATATCCTCTCCTTTTTTGCAAGCCTCAACTCGTAATGCACAGTCATTATAATAGGTAACCTTATCACTGCCACACACTTGATCTCTAGTGGGTGGACAGTCACTCATCTTTGGACACACGCACTCCGTGGAGGTGAAATCAGTTGCTTTGCAGCGCGCATAGTGTTTACAAACCTTCTTCGCGCAAGGGTCTGTGAAATGAAACAAATATTGTCTTAGCCACGAGAGGAAGGCAAAAAAAGGCAGGGAGCGGAGGTCAAAAGCAACGAAGAAACAATGAAAGGCAGGAAAGAAGATAGACACAACGAAAGAACAAACATGTCTAGGCCTAAAAATCTAATCGTACAAAGCCAGATGAGATTTTGACCACAAAAGACAAGCTCTACGACAAATTCTCCAGTCCTACGTTTTGCATATGGTGGTTTAAGTTTACCTTCACAAGTGTCTTTGGTCAGCCTTGCACTCAGATAACCAAGCTCATCCAGGCTGCTCACAGTGTGCATAAAATTGCTTCCACTGGCAAGACTGAGATGCCGAGAAGAGGGCGTCTTAACAGTAACAGCGACAACGAATATTTGAACACCTGTGTTCTTCAGGGCGGCGGCGGCAGACTTCAGATCCTCTGTGATTTTGCCGACAACTATTGCAATCAGAGATTTTGGAACCTGCGAGAAAATAGCGAGTGATTTTGACATTCTCCCTATCTTATGTGGAAAAATATTAATACACACATATAAACCATAATTATCTACACTTTGGAGTGCCTTAAAGGAGCTCAGTCGCGTTATTTTGAGTTATTTTGGCCACGTACTAAATTACCTTTAAATTGAAGGTAACCTGAAAATAGTTGTTTGCTAAGATAGAAAAACACCAAAGAGTTAATGATAATAACCCATAAAGGAACAAGGACAGTTGGATGGACGAATTCCAAACGACGAAATTGAAAAATTCAGGCTTAACTTTCCAGGACGTGCAAACCGTGATAGAGCTCCCTTAAATGAAGTTTAAATTAGAAATAACATAAACAGCACAAGTGCTTACCCCGGTTCTTCCTCCATTCCTGAATACCTCTGATGCCCTTCGTAGCATGTCACTTAGCCTACTGGTCGGATCTGAAGGGAAGTCTCTCTTAGCAGGCAGCCCAGCCACTCTAGCCTTCAGTACTCCGGGCCGAGTGTGTTCTCTGAGCGCAATATCTTTCCGCGCGGTCTCTCCAACCGTGATAACACCAACGTGAGTTTTGATGTCGGAAATCGTGAAAGCGTTGATCATCGTCAGAACAAAATTCTTCTGCTGGTTGTATTCCGAGGTTGATAACTCGGCAGAAGAGTCTAAAGCGAAGACCACATCCATGGGAAATGGACAAGCTGAAATTTACAAAGTGTGCTTGTAAGTGATGTGGAGAGTTAAATTGAACAAAGGACAAAAAAAGCCGAAATGCGATGAACCTCAAATTGAATGCCTATTTGACGCACTCAGTACGTCACGGTTTTCGCACCTCAGGTGCCTTTATGACGTACTGAGTAAGTCAAAATTTTAAGAGATTTAATCAAACTCCAAGCGCGCTGGAAACAACTTTTATCGGCGTCTGAGATTCGTAGGAGATTTTTCGAAAGACTTCTAATTTCGCATTGTTATGAAGTCGTATGGATATCAAATTACGTCAACCTCGGCGAAATTACCCGCATTGAAGAGACACTTTTATCACCTTTTAGAAAATGTGTACATGTCTATAGTTTAAGTGAAGAGGCTTCAAGTTTTTACTATACACCGATTTTCAGTGAAAATGGTACGGCACGCAGTACACAAAGGTCTGGCACTCAAGGGGTTAAATCATCTTGACTTACCAGCGTGGATAGGAGTAGGAACCACGCAAAAGAGTCTAGACGGGGGTTTTATTGGCCGAAGGGCGTCTAGCGGAGCTTCCTCTCTTTATTATTGTAATTTTCTACTGATCGTAGGTGCTACCCACCTGCAGGAATAGAACACAAGGGCTCCACTAAAATGGCTCCTCTGGTCGGTTTACATCTACCACACCACCCACCACACTTGGCAGACACCACGGCACCATCATGTGACTTCATGTAATCCTGTAGCTGTAAACCACTCGGGAAACCTTGCAGTGTCCACGTCACATCATCCCGAACCCGAAGTCTCGTCCCGCTCAAATCCACCTTGAAGCCACCCTTGCGGCATTTGCCCGTGTTCACCGAATAACAATCCCCAGCAGTGCCATATGCAATGTTCTTTCCTTCCTCCGTCTGGGCAAAGGTGAAGTCATTGCTGATAATCCTCATGGTTGCGATGTCAAGGCGCACTTTAGTGAAATTTGTTGTTCCTCGTTCAGCGTACAACTGTGTTCGCGCAGGCCCACTGCAGCTGAACCTGTCCTGTAGCCGTTGGTGGTAGATAATAGCGTAGTTGTTCTCAGCTCCAGACTCCAAAGTTATAAACTCCCGCGGCGAGTTGGAGGCCATCATGTGACAGTAAATTCTGATTGGGTCTTTACATCTGTCACTTGCCTGAACAAGGTAGTGGCCATCAGATGAGTACCCGGATGTCTTCACTTCTACGCAACTGTGAAACACTGTTGAAATTATGACAAGTAAAAGATTTCAATTTGGTTGTCAGTGGAATGATTTCATATTCCACTACATGAGAGAAATTCATATGACTGCTGTGAAACAGTGAAAGTAACACAAAAGCATCTACAGCCAATCAGAACCGTAGAAAGTGAAATAGACCCCACAGATTTCAAAGAATAAACAACTGATCAAACTTCTGGCCAGCGCGGGGAAACACAGAACCGTTGTCAAGGCGCGAGGACGTAAAAGCGACGACGACGCTTTGATCGGCTAGAGCATTATGACTGAAATTACGAGCTCACAAAGCGGTAAAACAAAGCACAGTGAGAAATAGTATTATCTAATTCTCACCACCTGTACACTAGATACTATGTAATGAAAACTATTCCGTCGTTGAGTGGGAAAGTGCAAGCTAGTCGCTTTTGAAAATTAAATGATTAACCAACCTTTGGCAGCGATAAATGGTACTTTTTTCGCCTCTTCTTTGTCCCCACCAGGCTTGGGTATCACCACGAGGTTATCTCCTGATGCAATAACTTTAAACTTGTCCCCATCGGGTTTGTCCGTGATGGCAATGACAATGATCTTGACTGGCTTCTCCCGTAACTTGGCAACCTCGTCCATGATGGCTTTAGAGTTTTCATCAAAGTCACCCTCGGTCATAACAACGAGAATATCCTCCGCAAACGGTCGCTCGCCACGCTGGAGAGTAAAGACTGAATCGCGAACCTTTTTCAGAGCGTCACTCAGTGTACCTGGCCTAGAGCCTGGACCAGGAATGTTCTCAGCCACAATTTTGAAATTCTCCTTGGTGTAGCTGTCACTGAAGAAAACCCTGGCATTGGCAGGGAGACCGTTGTAGTCCACGAGGGCGAGATGCGTCATGCTCGCAGAAACGTCATACTCATCGACAATGTTCTTTAAGATTGTTACCATTCTCGCAAAGTTGGACGGAGCTTTTGGTCCAGAGGTGCCGATTACAAAGGCTAAATCGATGGCTTTCTCTGTAAACCAGAATGACGAGAAAGGGGTTCAACATAAAACAACAATGATACCGGCAAAAAGCGGTCGAGAGAATTTAGAAATCTACAGTTTTTACTTTGGGTTTGTCACGCATTGTTTGGTTGCGTGACAAGCACAGAAAGAGACACTACAGAAAACTGGTATAGTAACGCAATTTTCGTTTGCCCGACTAGTGAAAACTGGAATAGTAAGGCAATTTTCGTATGCGCGACTTATGAAAACTGGTATATTAGCAAGAATAGTTGGAACAGTAAACCGACGTCTGGCTTAAAGTTATGTATCGCAATGTTCGGTTGCGTGACCGGGGACAGAAACAGATACTACAGAACATCCGCAATAACAAGTCGTACATAAGCAATATACAATCACCTCACTAAGGCTTATGAAACACAAAGTCAAATAACAATCTACAAATACTTACGGCAAATTCCTTTTGATTTCACGGTGGTCATTTGTTTCTCCACGCAGGCCTTTGCTTTAAGCGCACATTCATTTGGATAAGTCACCATGTCACTTCCACAAACTGCTTTAACAGGTTCTGTTGAACAATCGTCTTCGCACTCGCATAGAGCGGTGTCATTTGGTAAGGAGCGACATTTGGCGTTGTAGCCACATTTAACTTCCTTGCAAGGATCTAAAGAATATAACACTGTAAGTTTGCCACTTGTAAGTTTGCAAGAGATTCTGTTGCTTAGAAACGTGCCTTTTATTGAAGTGGAACCCCCCAAAATAATAATGGTTGGAATTGATAGAAAAAGAGAAAAGAAATAGTTATGTTCAAATTTAGGTCAATGTACACGGCATCTTGAAGTTTGCAATTAAGATTTAGCGATGGCAATACTTGCCAGAAAGTAGAAGTGATGCATTTATCTATCTTGTTACTGGACCCTAATGGAGCGGGATGAGAGAGACGAAGAGGGGCTTTATGGAGTTCTGAAACGGGAGCCCTCCTCCAGTTTTTCCACTAAAATCAGGAGCTCATAAAAGACTTTTCTCTTCTTCCTCTTGCGACCCAAATAAGAGCGTCTATTCATGTTCTTTGAGCCTTTTTGTTATGGCGAGATTTTCTTTTCAGGTCCATTGAGACCCTGGAAACACCTCCTGTTGTGACGGTGCAAATTGTGTCTGTTAAAGAAAATGATTATAGGCAAAGAAAAAGATAGAAAGAGGACAAACTTACTGCAGTGGTCACTGTACTTTACAGTGATTTGTTTTTGCAGAAGACATGACTGAATTCGAAGAAAGCACTCGTTTAAGTAAGATTTCACATCACTGCCACACACTGGCCTGTAATTCTCTGGACAGGAAACAAGACATGCGCAGTACGGGGTTCCATCCTCTTTAAGTCGGCAAGTTCCGTGGAAGGGGCATTTGATTCCAGAACAAGGAGTTGGGTCTTCAGAAAAGATTGAAAATAGATGGCACAGAGAAGAAAAAGTAAAAATTTCACAATATATAGAGAGAAGAGATTTCTGTAATGGGAGATTCAACCACAAAACAGTGCAATAGAAGAGACCTACCCATGCATTGAAATCACAGAAGAGAAGAAGGTAGGGAGGTTTCTAGTTTACAAAGAGAAAGCGCGGGTAAAACGAAAGCAGCTGAATCCAAATTTAGCTAGTTTTTAGTTAAACAATGAAGTCTTTAAGTTTCTGCCGGAGAGATCTATAACTGTCTATAGCATCTAAAACAACTTTCTTTTTGGTGACAAATCTATTGAGACTTTTAAAACAAGACTTAGAACATGTCACACACCATAATCGTTTTGAGAACGAAATAACAACAGCAGGATCCGCTGATTATCACACGGTCGTTTGAGCAGCTCACTTGGCTTACGCATTTTCAGTTTCGCAGGTTATAATTCACTCACTTCAGTATGGCCTTGTGTTTTTTGTCAAGAGAAGAACTGAAAGAAGTTGGGTTTACATCCGACCTCGATGTTTACACTAATGTCGAGGGAGGGAACACGGGGACAGGCGCCCTTGATTTGTGCTTCAAAGTAAACATCCAATATCGATCACATGAGAAAATGTGAAGTCGAGAAACAACATGCAACTTACTACAAGCTTTTTCAGACATAACAGAAGTATTTTGGCCCATGAAACAAGCCTCTCTTCTCAGAAAACACGCATTCCAGTAAGTCCTTGAATTCGATCCACACACAGGGCGAAAAAATGAAGAACAAAGGTCAGGACAGACGCACAGAGCAGTGCCATCTCTTTGAATGACACACTGAGCGTAGTGCGCACACTCAGTGGATCGACAAGCACCTACAGGAGAAAGCAAGGAACAGGACAGGCAGAGAAAGAATATCGGACATGTTAAGAGTAGAATGTACGTGATCTAAAGGATGTGAAGTAACTAAGTAATAAGTATTATGGAGACAGCAGCTTAAAACAAAGGAGATCAGCAATGACCTTGCTCTCAATAGGAAGGAAAAAGTAAACTGAGAGAAAAGCAATAGCTACACCAAGAAAAACAATGAATAATGCGACTGGAAGATTGCAAAACTTGAATTGTCAAACTAAGACAAAAGAAAATGTGTCTTAGACGGAGAACAACGTAAATGAAAGCCAAAAAAAATGGTGTTCTCATTCTCATCTCATGTTCTCATTTTGTAAATTTTAGGACATTTATGAATTATTTAAGAGTTGCCCTGAACTCAAGACTTATCTAGCTGAACGTTTTCCTTACTTTTCAAAACGGCCTTCATTACAGCTATAACCAGTATGTCTGGTTTGCCAATTTCTGGTTCTGGGTCCGTGATGACGTTTCCTTCATTAGGAGGAATTTGTATTCCGTCTGGACCCACCTGCTGTCCAATAGCAACTGGAATCACCTTGAATTAACAACACAGTCATTAGAAAAAGTCTCTCCCAAACTAATGGAACAAGGGGAAATACTAGCGTGTACACAACAAAAATTGTGCTTAAGCTTGGGCATTTAAATATTAAACATTAGCTAGGAAAACGGAATGATTTTATATTTGAGGGGTAGCGGAAACGTGCGAGACAAAATCCAAAACCAACAGCAAAACAAAAATTAAAGTTGCTTTCCAGAACGGACAATGTTATCAGATGTTGAATTTGTGAACAGTCGCCAGGCTGAACCTTAAGTTCTCCGTTCTTCCCTTTTTCTTTTGCCTCCGAGATGTGAAGATGGACTTAAAGTGATTTTTCAAACACGAAAAACCGCGTTTGACCACATTACCAAATACCAAGAAGAGAGTTGAAAATACGTTGCACAGCGGAGTATTTTTGACGAACTTCGAGGTGTTTCAAAATGTGGTCAAATACCGTCTTGAGTGCTTGATAATCTTCTCAATCAAAACTAAAACTGAGAAGAAAACGGAGAAATAAAATCGTAAAAGTCTCTGCTAATTAAGACCAGATATCCAAACAATGTCACGGCCATGATTTCCCTTGTTCAAAACTAGATGAATTATTATTGTGCCTGCACAGGAGCAACATTTAACGTTGCTACTAACCTTTATTCCGGAATTCTCCAAGCTCTTTGCATAACGTAACACAACATTCTTGTCTCCTACAGTGTTTCTATCCACAATCACCACAACAAACTTTCGCACAGCAGGTCTCTCGCCCTTATAACCTGGCTGGAAAATCTCAGTAGCCTTTTCAAGTGCTTTTTCCAGGTTCGGCCGGCCGCCAATTCTCGGAATATTATCCAGAAGACCCTTGAGCTGGTCTGGGCTTTTCACGTTAGCACCAAACTTTAGTCGCACGTCGGGTTCGTTACCAAACACCATGAATGCATAATGGACATGGTACATGCCATATTCATCGATGATCAGCTTAATGGCGTCCAGCATGTAGTCGTAGAGCTCGTTGGCTTTAGCACTGGTGGCAGAGATAGCGAAAGCAATGTCGATTGGGTATGAGACCAATACTGAAACAAATGAACAAGAATTATCAGCAAGCTAGTCAATAAGTGTATTCACTTTTGCCATTCAAGGTTTTCATTAGTTGCTCTAATTTGCGGTAAAATTGCGGTACTGAACACCATTACGCACTCGTAAATCGTTATGCATGGACAAAAAAATTGAAAGACGACCCAAATATTAACATTAAATTCACCCTCTCTGGATTACTATTTGGACTACTATTTCTTTACTGTAGACTGAAACAGGTGTGCCATCTCTTTCGCAAAATAGTGCACTATGCCAAACGCTAATCTTCAGTACGGCCGTTTCGCATATGAACGAGGAGGTTTGGGGGAGAGTCAAAAAGGAGGACAAAGGAATGGGGTGAGACTGACCGACTTTCGAAACCGCTCGCCAATTAATCTCTGAGTTCAAGGAAAACTAAACATTGTTACTAAAGATACTTCTTTGACAACTTCGAGCTCCAGTCGTTCTATTCTTGCAGACTGGATTCGAAACGAGAAACACCTCTTACTGCCTCGTCTCTTATAAAATATGAACAATATTGGAAAATGTAGGAGACATTCTTCTGAAATATACCTTTCAAGGGGCAAATCTGATCAGAAAGCAAGGGTGCCACAGACATGAGCTCACTGAAGGAGGTCGAATGGAATGCGTAGTCGTTCTTAGAGGCGACTTTCTTGATACTGGGGTCATCCATGCCGCTCCCCACCCCCACGACAAACAATGCAGCGTCACGGGCCTTTAATGCTCCGGATGCATCATGGAGCAAAGGGATGTCATTTTCTGATTGATCCATAATCACAACCACAGCCTACAAACAGAAAAATAGTTTGGTCATATTGTAAGATAAGTGTGGAGCCCTACTGTTATCTTATAACTGAACGCGCCTTGATCACAGAAAACCCAACAATAATGGTTTGATTTTGTACCACAATACAGGACAATGAATGAGCCACAGAACCCAACGAAAGAAATGAAATGAATTAAAATATGGACGAACTTCTTAAAAAAAAAACAATTCCTTACAAACTATATTTGCAACAACGTTCATGATCTAGTTCAATTTGTGTCGCAAGTCAAGGGTCATTTGTAGTGGGGTATTTCCGCACACCAGTCACTACGAGAGTGAATTTTCCTTGCCACCATAGAACGACAATATATAAGGGAGCTTAAGTAAACCACGACGGCAACGGTAACCAAAATGTCAGCAAACAAAACGATGAATGAGCAGAACAATAGCTATGCACATGCGTACATTTCGAAGCCCTCCCTGCAAACAACAACGTGAAACGACCAAATTCTTTGCGCACGTTTTTTGACCGATTGGCGCATTAAGCACATCCAGATAGCTCGAAGGTGAAATATAAATCTTTTTTTTTTCACTAGGCGTCGTCCCTCGCGTCACGGTCGTCATTGTTTAAGGTCCCTGATGGCCAGCATCGCACAGTTGTCCACGGAGTGAATAACGCTGTCTACCGGGTGAATGCTATCCATTGGAGAAATGCCACTTCGATAAACTACGCTATACATTAGATAGTGATACGATTAGTGTTATCCACGCTTTGAACAATTAGGGACAGGACCTGAGCTCTCGGCTTCAGTCGGACGCACTGACCACTAGGACGCACATGCACGTACCTACAACAGTTACCTAATGAAAATTAATTGCCTAAATAAGAATCCCACCTGTTTCACATCTGGTCTTAGGTCTTTGATGATTTCCAAGGCTCTCGTCAGCCCAGATGTAATTCCAGGAGACGATCCTACATCTTTGAGACCGTCAATATAGGTTTTGATCGCGTCCACAGATTGGGAAACGCTGAAAGGGCGCACGACCACACCTATTCCTCCTGTTAACAGCAGTCCCACCCGGGTGTCATTTATGCCGATGTAGAATGTATCGATCACAGCTTTGATGAAGTTCTTCTTGATTGGTAGACTGCCTCCATCCATGACAAACAGCAGATCAACGGAGTTGTTGCAAGCTAACGAAGGAAAGCACAAATAAAAGCATAAACAAATCCTCACTCAACGTTGGTATAAGGTAACGTCTGTGTTGGAGCCCTGTGGACCGTCACCCAGGTCTCGATGCTTATTTCCAGCTTCCCTAGCATTTCTACTCCCCACCTGTACGTAATACTAGTCCATTGCAGTGTAACCCACTGTATTTTATTCGAAGGCATTCATTTCTACTCCTGGGCGAAAGAGAAGCCGTGAGCGAGTCTAGCGCACTAAGGGCACAAATGTGATTTCATTAAACATGACATAAGTATAGATGATCACAAACGCGATTCATCATAGAACAGCGAAAGTTACGGTTGCCTGCTTGGTTCTTTTAGGTATGTTTTCAAATTTTCAAGCATTTCATTTAAGTCAATTCAGCGATTGCCAGGGATCACATTGGAAACAGCCTCTAGTAAACATTGATTTCATTCCTTGTACCTTCACATACTCCAATCTTTACAACAGTGAGTCTTGTCTTCATTCTGCAGGATTCGACCATCACACTACAGTTGTTTGGATAAGTCTGTTTATCACTTGCACATACGGGATTGTAGCTCTGTGGGCAGTAATCACGGCATATGCATTCTGCTGTTCCATTGGGATACTTCACACACTTCCCATTGAAATCACATGTTTTAACCAAGCATGGGTCAGATAAAGCTGAGAAAAAAACATTTTAATAGCAGAGTTAGTTAAACTGGTTAGCGTAGTTGAAGACCATTCTAATCCTCTAGGGACTGGAAGGGCCGACTAACACCTCATCGCGGATAAAGTACAGCTGCTCCCCCTGCATTGATGGGATGCTAGTCTATTGCAAGTTATCCCCTCAAAAATAAGAAAATGGGTTGAAGATAATCACCTGGCCCGAGTTGTTCGAGAGTTGGATAACGCTATCCATCGGATAAATCACTATCCAGCGGAGAGCGTGTTTTTTGTTTTTTTTTTTTGTTAACANTTGCAGTGTAACCCACTGTATTTTATTCGAAGGCATTCATTTCTACTCCTGGGCGAAAGAGAAGCCGTGAGCGAGTCTAGCGCACTAAGGGCACAAATGTGATTTCATTAAACATGACATGAGTATAGATGATCACAAACGCGATTCATCATAGAACAGCGAAAGTTACGGTTGTCTGCTTGGTTCTTTTAGGTATGTTTTCAAATTTTCAAGAAGTTCATTTAAGTCAATTCAGCGATTGCCAGGGATCACATTAGAAACAGCCTCTAGTAAACATTGATTTCATTCCTTGTACCTTCACATACTCCAGTCTTAACAACAGTGAGTCTTGTCTTCATTCTGCACGATTCGACCATCATACTACAGTTGTTTGGATAAGTCTGTTTATCACTGGCACATACGGGATTGTAGCTCTGTGGGCAGTAATCACGGCATATGCATTCTGCTGTTCCATTGGGATACTTCACACACTTCCCATTGAAATCACATGTTTTAACCAAGCATGGGTCAGATAAAGCTGAGAAAAAAGATTTTAATAGCAGAGTTAGTTAAACCGGTTAACGTAGTTGAAGACCATTCTAATCCTCTAGGGACTGGAAGGGCCGACTAACACCTAATCGCGGATAAAGTACAGCCGCTCCCCCTGCACGGGTGGGATGCTAGTCTATTGCAAGTTATCCCCTCAAAAATAAGCAAATGGGTTGAAGATAATCACCTGGCCCGAGTTGTTCGAGAGTTGGATAACGCTATCCACCGGATAAATCACTATCCAGCGGAGAGCTTGTTTTTTTTTTGTTTTGTTTTTTTTGTTAACACTTATCCACTGGATAGCGTTATCAAGCCTTGGAACAACTGTGGTCTTTTTGATAGGAAGAGAACAAAAACCGACAGAATTCGCAATGCTTACTTTTAGCTATCGCGGCCATAATTTTCTCTCTAACCGTACGTGGATCATCATCTTTGTCGGTCGGCACGATATCCTTCTTGTCTTTGTCTGGAGTCAGCGGAATAAGCTCATCTGGGTCGGCCTCATTTCCAATAACTACAGTAACAAACCTGACTTTGCCGTCTTCATATTCACGTACGATCTTCTCGATCGCGCTTCCGCTGTTGACAGACTTCTTGTCAATCATCACCACGATTATCTTCCGGGAATCTGGTCGGGCACCTCCGCTTAGTAAGAAAAAGAGCTGCTTTGTAGTCTCCAGAGCGTTCACCAAATCTGGAAAACCGGAAACCAACTGGGCGCCTTTAATTATAGACAGCTGTGAATCTTTAGTGGTCTTTTGAAACGGTAGTATTATGTTGGCGTTTTGCCCAAAGACCACCATGCTGTAAAGATGCTTTTTGACGCCATATTGTTCGATGATTGATTCCATAGTGGACTTGATGAGTTTAAAATTATCACCGCTATCAACAGCGGTTGTGCTGACGACAAATGATATGTCTAATCTTGGAAACCTGGTTGTACCTAAAAATAAATAAAAACAAACTGGTAATCACTAGCTCAATCACAATCTAAATTATGCAGCACGCATTACGACAAAATTAACTTTAAGTCAAAATTGTTATATATGAATTCAAAGGATTTTAAGATTCAGAAGAGGTGAAAAACGAATCAAATTTGCTGCAGATCAAACAGTGAATAACAGAAATAATCTACTTTGCAGAAGGGAAGTTGTTTTTATAGTAGTCAATGCGCTTAGCTACACCTAGCTAAGCACCTAGGTAGGATTGCANCGATCGCGCTTCCGCTGTTGACAGACTTCTTGTCAATCATCACCACGATTATCTTCCGGGAATCTGGTCGTGCACCTCCGCTTAGTTGGAAAAAGAGCTGCTTTGTAGTCTCCAGAGCGTTCACCAGATCTGGCGAACCAGAAGCCAACTGGGCGCCTTTAATTACAGACAGCAGTAAGTCTTTAGTGGTCTTTTGAAACGGTAGTATTATGTTGGCGTTTTGTCCAAAGACCACCATGCTGTAAAGATGTTTTTTGACGCCATATTGTTCGATGATTGATTCCATAGTAGACTTGATGAGTTTAAAATTATCACCGCTATCAACAGCGGTTGTGCTGACGACAAATGATATGTCTAATCTTGGAAACCTGGTTGTACCTAAAAATAAATAAAAACAAACTGGTAATCACTAGCTAAATCACAATCTAAATTATGCAGCACGCATTACGACAAAATTAACTTTACGTCAAAATTGTTATATATGAGTTCAAAGGATTTAAGATGTAGAAGAGGTGAAAAACGAAGCAAATTTGCTGCAGATCAAACAGTGAAAAACAGAAATAATCTACTTTGCAGAAGGGAAGTTGTTTTTATAGTAGTCAATGCGCTTAGCTACACCTAGCTAAGCACCTAGGTAGGATTGCACTAGAATGTAATGCACAAAAGTTTAATTCTGCGCCTGTATTTATAGATTCATTTTTAAGTCTTATGAATTACTTCTTACAACGATACGATTGTGATGAGAAATACATCTACACAAAGAGGTTTGAAGAACAAGAAAGAGGAAAGTTTGAAAACGAAGCTACTTACCACTAAGCAGTTTGTCTTCTATCTTATCAGCCGTCTTAATCGGATGATCTGTGTCGTTTGTTTTGATAACATCCTCATCCGGGAACTCCTTTTCGAAGTCAGGAACAGGCTTGTTACCAATAGCAACAGGAATCACAACTATCGAGGCGTCTATCAAGTCCTTCGCCGCTTTGTTGATGGCTGGCTTGTTACGACCAGTCGAGGCATCCATGATAATGACAAGAACCTGAACACAAGGAAGATAACAGAGACAGGAGTTAATGTAAAGGCACGACTTATATCAGAGCGATGCTAAAAGTCAATGGAATTGTGAAAAATTTTAACGGTAGGTGATAGAAACACGAAAAAAGAAATTGAAAAATTTTTATTGATGGTAAGATGAATTTGTGCAGTGCAAATGTACAGCCTTTGTAGTAAAGTATCGTCCAGGAGTATGACCACAGAATTGGAAGGAATGAAGTCACGACCGCCGTTAATTAAAAAAATCTAAACCAAGTAACATGCGGATGAATAAAGGGACCACAACTGAGTTTGTTATGGAGACCCACGAGTGAAAGAAGTCTATTATCGTTCAACTGTCCAATAGCGGCGCTCGTAAATAACACTTCCTTTTCAATAACACATACCTTTTGAGCATCTTTCCGGGCAGACTCGCTTTCAAACAGTCTCTTTGCCGAAACAAGAGCCTTGTCCAGTGCAGGCTCGTCATTGTTACCAGCTATCAAATCAATGTAATTCTCAAGTTGTTTAGGATCGCTGAACCTGTCCCTGAAGGGAATCCTTATGGAGGCAGCTTTGCCAAAAACAATAAGCCCATATTGGACCCTGTCGCTGAAGAATCTCTTCGTTACTTCCTTCACAACATCCAGAATAACTCCAAAATTGTTGTCGGTTGGTAGCGCACTAATGGCAAAGGCGAGGTCCAACTTTGGTATTCTGTGCGTCACTGTAAAGTGAGCAAGACAAGATTATATATCTAAAACGGTTATTGCCATTACTGTGTTTTCTTGAAAAGATAAGAGAACTTAAACAAGGGACTTCGTTTTTATTTCTTTTCTTAAAGTCATAATTAAGCAGTGGTTAAAAGTGGAACAATTCCTTTTAATGTGCCAAGTCATGGACAGAATTTCACGACGAAATTTACTCCTTTTAGTAAATTGCAATATATGACTGAATGTAACCGACGCGTAGATCCTTTAGCGTGGTTTTCACTTGAGTGTCGAAAAGTAATTGGTTTTGAATCAACTTCCCAACACGATAAGCTTAAAAAACTGGCGCCACTTTTTCCTCCAATCAAACGTAAAACCACACCAGCTGTGACTCGTTCGCACGCGTTTTCCCGCGCTTCGCATCTGCTATCTGTGTTAAATTTAAGTTTTGATTTGTTCATTGGATTGTCTGTGTCATTTGTGATTGGCCAAAGTGATTATATTGGTTTTGGTTTTACGACACTCAATGAAAATCTGCCCTAAACAAACAACAGGTCCAACTTTGGTATGTGGTACGCTACCTTTAAGGACTTTCGCCATAACTGATTTGCCAAGTTCTGTTGGGTCAACCTCACCAGGAACAACAACTAGTACGTCTTTATACGGTGAAATTTCCTTGATTTCTTTAGGATCGATATCACCGCCAATGGCAACAGGAACAATCTTTACATCAGCGAATTCCAATTCTTGAGCTTCCTTCCCTGTTTCTTGTTTATCTCCTATTGGTGATTTGTCTGCAATCACCACCAGGACTTTCTTGACGTCCTTCCGAGCACTCGACTGGAACAATTCCTCTGCCTTCTGCAGCGCCTTCTCCAGCGCGGGATTTCCAGCCTCATTCTGCATGCTATCAACCGTAGTTAGCCAATTCTCCAGGGATGAGAAGGTTCTCTCAAAGCCGAGGGTTACCTTTGCGTCAGAGCCGTAAATTATTACAGCATAACGTAGGTTACCAACACCATATTTCTTGATTATGAATTTTACGGTCTCTTTCACTTTGTCCAATGTTTGCCTAGCATNACCAGGGTCTGCCTCCTTTCCTACAGCCACGGCGATAACCTTGATATTTTTGTCTTCTAGTGGTTTCGCAGCTTTCTTTAACATTTCCAATTCATTCCGAGATTTGCTCCCAACAAAGATAACCAAAAACTTCTTCGCTCTGGGTCTAGGCGGTGCGGTGTCAAACAATTTTTCTGCCCTTTCCAAAGCTTTTATCACATCTGGCTGCCCACGCGGTCGAGAAATGCTCATGATATTTTCGATTAATTTGTCCAGATTGACAACCTCCTCTCCAAATGCTGTTACCAAGCCTGGGTTTGTTCCAAAGGGCAGAATGGAATAGCGGATTTGATCATATTTTTTGTACTTTTCAATGATGCTTGTCACTGCCTCTTGCATTTTCTTGTATGTTTCTCCCGCATTCGAATCTGAGGTGCCAAAAGCAACGCATATGTCCATTTCAGGGACACCAAGAGATTCTGAAACAAAATTTAAAATAACACCGTGAGTACGCCAATGAGTATTGTATCGAGTATTTAACACTTAAAAATGATTGCCTTGTTCCTGTCGACAACTGCCAGAAATGTTCTTCATTCCTTCAGCTAAGAACTACAATTCCGACCAAAACGTTTGGGACACTTTAGCATTTTTCAATAAAAACAGTATTTCAATCCCCCTCCCTCCCCCGTGGATGTCAGGAGTCAAAGTGTGTCATAAATATTCTACAGTCAAAGGACTTCAACATTGTTAAGGGGGAGCGAAGGAAGGATCCCTGTAGGGCTATTTCTATGACTGAGAATTGTTGGTTTCTCGCAGTTTCCACGTAAAAACGCAAGAACAAAGGGAAGTGTCCCAAACCCTATTGGTCAGGATTGTATGTTGAAATAAAATAGTCCTGGAGAGTACACGAACACAAACTCACTAGCTTTCATTATGATCTCATCTGCAATTTTCTCGGGGTCATCTTCTCTGTCTGCTTTGACGATATCATCCTTATCAAGGGTTGCATTTGTCAGTTCTGGTATGTCTACTTCTCTGCCAAGTGCCACAGGAATGACACGGATTTTGTCATTTTCCAGAGGGACGGCAGCCTTTCTAATGTCCTCTTCAGTGCTACCTGATTTGTTATCAATGATTACAACCAGGACCTTCTTGGCATCAGGACGGAGATCTGTAAAGTGAGCCAGAACACCAAAACATTATAAACACGAAGGGACCCTTTGAGGCCATAAGGTCTTGTACAAAATGGTCGATATAGTGCAGCCATAACTCTGTAAGACTATTCCAGCGATTTTTGCGGTTCACTTGAAATAGTCAAAAGCTTTAAAGACTCCTGATACGTTATTTCATCCTTAATTTCTAATAGCAATACTCATAAAAAAATTACAAAGTCACAAACTTTATAACAGCTAACAAAGTTATTAAACTTCTTACGGAGCTAATCCAATCCCACCTGTTAAAACAGTTCACTTCTAGCTAGTCTTTTAAATTCTTTAATTGTCCTACAACTTTTTTGTTTCATTACTTGAACCATTACATGTTCTGGTAGTGAGAAAAAAAGAACGATCTTTGGTCTGTAGATGTGCGGGAAAGGAGGGAATCTGGACATCGCTTTGGTTTTTTGAAATAGTAGGATACTTGAAGCATTTTCACATGCACAAACAAAACAGATTGTATATTAAGCGATTTTGGTCAATAAAGCAAGCCTTATACATTTGTACGAAAATCATTTTGATTTGACATTGTAGCACCAACCTTCGGCTTCATCGAACATTTCTTTTGACTTTTCCATTGCCTTTTGCAGAGACGCACCACTTGATTTCATTTTGCCTCCGTCAATGGCCAGCTTAAGCCTGTCCACATCATCGAAGATGGAATTAAACTTAAAGTACACGTACGGTTCTTGGCCGAATGTAAGGAGACTGTACTTGATCTTTCTGATGCCATATTTTTCAATGATTTTGTAAATAACCTCTTTCGAATAGCGTAAGTTGTCCTCGGATTCAGTAGCCGTGGTGCTGATGGCCAACAACAGGTCCATTTCAGGTATCGAGATCCTCTCTGCGAACACAAAAAAAATGAAGAAAATTTGTTGTTAAAAGCAATGGTAAGGGCTGTATTACGAGACGGGCGTGTAACGCCGGTTTCCGTTTCATGGAGCGATTAGGAGTATTGCTACTACTCCCTCCAAAAAAAGTCTATAGGAAGTTTACTCTCAGTTTTTTTTATCAGGTTGCCATGACAACTTGTCGCGATCGAAACGTTGACACTCCTCGGTAGAGAAAGGCACTGTGTCTTACTAGGGGAACAGTGCTATGATTCCTGTCAGCGCGAAATATGACCTCACAACATGCACTACTCATAGGTGAGATATATAGGCAGTGAAGAGTGAAGAGAGTTTCAACAAACCTTTAAAAACAACATCCATCAGTTTGTTCTTGATGTCAGTGGTATCATCTGTTGTTTTCGCCGTCACTAGGCTACTCTCGCCATCTGTAAGCAATTTAAGTTGTCTCTCATCCGCCTCGTTACCAAGCGCTACAGGAATTACTATGACGTCATTGTCTTGCAGTGGTTTTACTTCATTTCTTATTTCACTGTCTGAGCTTGAAGATCTTTTGTCAGAAATAACCACAAGGACTTTCTTGGCATTCGGCCTTCCTTCCTTCAAAAGTATGTCCCATGATGCTTTCACAGCCTTAAAATAGAAATAAGAACAGTACGGAGAGTTGGCGAACACGTCACAATCTTGATAATGAGACTTGCACCTCTCCTTATATAACAAGAAGCAATCATACTGAAAACAAAACGGAACATGCAGACTGACATGCAGACTCATAATCAAGTAATTCCAAATAAATTTGATTGTTCCAATTAATTAATATGAGACGTCGATTTTCGCTTCGCACCTCCGAAACGCTCCAAAAGACCGTTACGACTACTTCAAGTTGTTAAGACTTGAAAAAGCGCTATTTGCCTCAAAAGTGCATACCTGTGCAAAATCTCACATGAAATGTCGATTTTCGCTTCATACCTCAGAATCGCTCAGAAACACCGTTAATTTAGAACTCTTAGTTTCATTTCATATGTGATTGGTTGTCGCCGTCCAAGTTTTATTTGTCACAGATGTTGTGTGGTACGTTCTGCATGACTTACGCAGCCTTACCTTTGCCAAATCAGCACTACCAGTGTCCCGATCAAAAGAATTTAAAGTTGCCATCAGTTGGTCATCAGTTTCATAGTAATCACCCAAGCGTACAGCTACCTGAGGCTCTTTTCCAAAAAGCACAACGCCATAATGGATGCGTTCACGGCCATATTCGTTCAGAATTGACTCGATAACATCCTTGGTCTTCTTGAAGTCCTGTTCCCCAAGTGTTGCAGTGGAACTGACTGCTAGAATCATGTCTACCTTCTCAACTGGCGGGTTATCTAATAAGAAAGATATCTTACGTCAATAACTTAGGTCCAGTTCAGACGTCGTGCTTCTACTTAATTTTAAAAAGACTCGATTGTAGCACAGCAGGAACCCGACTCCGACTCAGACCGCGTGCAAGAATCGCACCAAATTAAAGATTTACTGAAACCACGTAATTATTCTCCTCTTAACTACCAGAGAAAACGCAATCCCACCAAAATGCATTAATATATTTTATGAATTTTGTTCGACGCGGCACAAGCACGACGTTTGAATCGCTGCGGTGTCAGAGTCGTGTAGCATGACAAAGCTTGCCGAACTTAATTCAAAAGTTTGATTCAGGCGCCGTACTTCTGGCGTCCTTTTGCCAAACTTAATTCCTGAATTTAGTTCGGCACGGCAGAAGCACGACGTCTGAACTGGGCCTTACCATGTCAAAGGGCCAGGCTTCTCCCACCACCACCAAAATCTGATTCTGAATTTGATCTTTGTACGTGAAGGCACGCTATTCATTCGAAATTGTAATGGTCTCAGTTGTAAACTCAAGGGTCTTGTGTATGACTTCACAAATATGTGAATTTAATCTAGTACGGTAAGAACTACTGCTCAAAAAACTCTAGTCAAATAACTAGTATGAATTCGTTGCAACTGTGTGAGTTAGCCTAACCGAGAAAAAAACAGGCGAATACTTTGTAAGCAAGAGAGAATAACTACCAAATGAGAGTCTTTCAGTTTTATTATCACTCATTTGAGAGTTCGCCTTCGTAGCGTACCTTCGTCTTTCATCCGAAATGGTGATCGAAAGGTACTTTCTCTTAATAAATATTAACCCAGTGTCAAGTACACAGTTTATGAGAATAGAAAAAAAAACCAACTTCCACTGGGGATATTGTTTTGATGTACTGCCAAATTCTCGGAACTAACCTCACAAGGTATGCCTGATAATCTGTAAAGAAAACTGAAAGCACATCACCTTTTATAACAACGCTCATGATCTTCCTTCCCAAAGATTTAGGATCTTCATCTTTTGGAGATGTTACCAAGTTCTTCCGGTTTGTAGTGACTTTCTCCAACTCGTTAGAATTCGCATCTGAACCAATAGCTACTGGTATAACCTTTAAAGAACACATATCATAATTGAGTGACGGAATCGTTCTATCTAAGCTCCATCCATAATTAGACTTTTAATAGATTTTATTAAGCCGTTAAAGCGGAATAATGACTGCACAATAATGGTTCATATCAGCAAAAGAATATTGACTTTTATTAATTAAGATCATTTCATTCGCTTAGCCATCATGGTATGTGAGCATGCTCTACAAATATGGTAAGCATACGCGTGTTTTTTGGAGGCGTTTGTATTTTATTTTATTTTATTGCATTATAATTAATCGAAGCCTATATCCGTGTGTATGCGCAAAACATGGTAAATCACCTTAATGCCTTCCTTCTCTAGAACCTCTGCTTCTTCCTGGACCTCATCAGGACCGCTGCTGGACTTTGAATCCATGACAACAATCAAGAACTTCTTAGCCTCAGGTCTGTCTGTCGCCTTATCAAAGACGTCTTTAGCTTTCTCCAAGGACTCTTTAAGATCTGGTACACCAAAGGCAGGAATAATACGGTCGACACGTTCTCTGAGTTCATCTACCGTTCTGCCATCTTGGAAATTGACGTCTTCGTACGAAGATGAGCCAAATGTGATCACAGCATATCGGATTCTTTCGGCACCGTAATATGTCATGATGAAGTCAAGGGAATCTTTGATTTTCTTGAAAGTCTGCTCTTTGCCAGCAGCGTTGGAACTGATGGCAAAGGCCAGGTCAGCCAAAGGAACAGCTGGTAAATAAAACATAACTGGGTAAGCAAGAATGCAATGCATACATATTAACTGTCTAAGTTTGAATCATTTTCTTTTCATCTCCAGAGCCCAGTCACGTTATTTTGAGTTATTTTGGTCACGTTAAAAATTGTCTTTCAATTGAAGCAAGTCTGAAAATAAAAGTCAACTGAGAAAGAAAAACACCAAAGAGATAATACTGAACCGTAAAGGAGCAAGGGTGGGTAGGGATTGAGAGGGTTAAAACAGATTACCAACGACGAACTTGAAAACTTTAGGCTAAACTTTTCGAGATGCGCAAACCATGATGTAGCTTCTTTGACGATAATACATGTTATGCTCGTACAAATTCATTCATTCATTTCCAGGACTAGTACTGTTCTTCCTAAATAGATTGTTTCCACCGTGATAAACCCTTTCATTTCTTCTACTTTGGTCCTGAAGCAGCCACACTACCATTATGAAAACAAAATACAGGTAGTACCTTCGCGAAGTGCTGCCTTTCTTACTGGGATTTTGGCTAAATATTCAAAAATAAGGAAATATATTAGTTCAACGACACGTTCAGTGTGTTGCTGTGACATACCTTTTCTCATTTTGTCCATGATTTCCATGGCAATCTTTTTTGTCTTGTTAGTCACGTATGCTGGTATCACATTATCCACATGCGGTGTTATAGACTTGAGTTCGTCCTCATCAGACTCTCGACCAAACGCGATAGGAATCACTTCAATATCATCATCCCACAGTGACATGGCCGTGTTCTTGACATCTTTCCCGTCACTTGTAGATTTCTTGTCCGTGATCACCACCAGCACCCTCTTAGCACCCTCCCGCTGATATTCATCAAACAACTCAGACGCTTTCTTAAGCGCGCTGTCCAAATTGGCACCATCAGTTGCCCTCTTCTTGAGGTCAATGAAAGCTTTCAGCTGACCATCGGTATCAAAGGTTCTAGAGAACCGTAGCTCGACAGAGGGCTTGTCTCCAAATACAATGAGGCTGTAGTGGATCCTTTCCTTGCCATATTCATCAACCATGGTCTTTATGATGTCCTTCATCTTTTGGAACTTGCCATTGGCATTAGATGACAGTGCGCTGATAGCAAAGATCAAGTTTACCATGGGAACAGCTGGAAGATCTGGAAAATGTCAAAAACGATACTTTTTCTTTAAAGAATTCGTATAAGCTAATCGTGATGTTATAACGTCGTATCTAAGTTAACTTGAAAATATCCTCGCGGCAATATGAAAACGTATTTTTTTTATCACACAGAAACAGCCCTTACGTGTTTAACACAGTTCAGTTAATTTGATTCCAATTAAAACTGCAAATGAACTCTAAATTGTTCTTTATCAGAGAGGTAAACTCTGATATGCCTATCTATATTAAACAGAACAAATGCATGGCGGAAAAATTATCAGTTACCCCGAGCAGGATTCGAACCTTCGACACCCTGATATCATGGAATGTGCTCTAACCACTGAGCTACCGAGGCAACCACAGTGGAGTGACATGAATATTAGCTACAAAGGAAACATCGATTTACCAGGAATTTCTGACTTAATTGTTTTTTTCATTTTGTTTCATTGTTTTTTACGATTTGCTTAGACAAGCACAAATTATGAAAGCAAGTTAGGCACTCACTCGTCAATGCCTTTCTCATTATTTCCTCTCCAAGTGTCTCTGGATCCTCATCCTTTCCAACAATGATCATAAATTTCTTATTAGTTGTTGTCTTCTCCAGCTCTGGCAGGCTGGCCGCAGGACCAACTGCAACCGGTACTACGACGATATTAACATCCTCCAGTGGTTTGGAGGCTTGTTTCACCTCGCTAGAGTCACTAATGGACTTCTTGTCCATTATCACGACAAGTACTTTCTTGGCTCCAGGTCGAGACGGAGCTTGTTTGAACATTATCTTTGCTTCCTCAAGAGCTCTCTGCAAGTCGGGTTCACCGGACGGTTGACTTGCTCTCTGTAAAGCTTTTCGCAATACTTCAGGATCAGGCAAATCTAGGGTGAAGTTTACTTCTCTGTTCACAGTGGTGCCAAATGTGAGCAAAGCATAGCGGATTTTGCTCGTTTCGTAGCGCTCCGTGATGGAACTTATTGCTTCTTTCATCAGCTTAAATGTTTCATCGGCGTCCTGTGCCGAGGCACTGATGGCGAAGCTAAGGTCTAATGGTGGAACTGCTGCTGTCTCTGAAATAACATAAACAATAAACAGGGTAATGAAGCCACAATTCTTGTTTTATGTCGACGGCACACTGCCTTTGTGGCTTTACTTGCCTCACGCTTCTTTCTCCACTGTTTCCGAAATTCCCTTTTCATATTCCCTTTTTTAATTAACATCACCGAGTGATAGCAAACAGTTACGTTCAGCACTGTACTAAAAGTACTGGACTATTTGGTGTTAATTGACAGCAAACAAACTACAAGTTAACAATGATCGATCGGGATTACGCATCCCGGCGTAAGTTATGTTGTATTGTTCCTGCCAGGAAACGAACTATAAATCACAGCCATTACATCACACTGATGATATTCTCACCATTCAACGCCCTGTCCATGATATCCTTAGCAATGTCCTCTGCAGTTTTATCGTCTGAAGGTGTCAGCACATCCTCGTCTACTGCTGTCGTCTTGTCCAGCTCCACCTTATCCGCTTTATCGAGGCCAACTGGAATCACTCGAATGCCAAGCTCTTTAACAAGACTCGCCGCATCTTCAATATCGTCATCATTACTATCTAACTTATTATCAATAATAACCACTAAGATCTTTTTAGCACTGGGACGTCCACCGTTCTCCTCTGTGAACATGGCTGGGGATTCTTCAAGGGCTTTTGCCAAATCAGAACCTCCCTTTATGGTGGGGATACTGTCCACGAGTGCCATGAATTGGGAATTGCTGTCAACCTCTTCGTTGAACTTCACAATGATATTCAGTTTTCGTATCAACGTGCCCACACTGTAGTGCATTTTATTTATTCCGTACTTCTTGATAACATTCTTTATGATTTCCTTGGTCTTCTTCAAGTTGTTCCTGTAGTTGGCAGCAGTAGAGCTGATGACAAAGGCTAAATCCAGTTCTGGAAGTTTTTGTTTGTCTGCAGATGAAAAATCAATGTTTGAAAAACGTCAGTGAACCACAAGAACCACAATAAAGTTTGGCGAATTACAAATTGCTTTCAGTGTTGCACATTTAACCTACAAGGAATTTTGTGTCCTCCTTCTTCTGGGTTCCGCGATCAGGAAAAAGTATGATTTACGTAAATATCCCAAAAGCGATATTTTAAATTTCGTTTAGTCTTCGTCACTCCTATTTCCATCTCTTTGGGAAAAGTGTTTCCCAATTTCCCTGTATTTTGGACACTTCCTAATGGACTAGAGTTTTATGAAGACATCAATGATCATCGCAATTATATACACAACTTGTGTATATAACTGCGATGATCAATCACGTCTTCATATCTTTCTCCGTAGTTCAAATCTGTGATCTTTCATATATTCACTTCCGACAAAACATTTGTATACTGAATACCATTTAAGACCGAAGCAACCTGGAAACGACTGCGTGTTAACACGTTTAATGCCAAAATTGCTTTCAGTGTCCTCTTCTCTATCACAGTCTTCCTACTCTAATCAATAAGTAGGTCACTTTCACCATGTGACTACAGTTCAAATAACTTTTCCAGTTACCTTTGAGACCGATCTTCAGAATAATCTCTGCCACCTCATATGGATTATCATCTTTGTCAATCTCCAAAATGTCATCTAACCATGGGGTGATCTTCTGCAGTTCGTTTGAGTCAGCTTCGTTTCCAAGAGCCACTGGTATAACCCTAATATCCTGCTCCTCCAGATCCTGTCCTTCACCTGTAAGATCCATCAGCTTACTGGTGGATCTCTTGTCTGTGATCACAACCAATATCTTCCTGGCGTTTTGACGTCCGCCTGAAGAAAACTCCTGTAAAGAATAATACGAGAGTTCAGTGAGGAGGAACAAATCTAAAGGAGTCTCGATAAACAACAAAAAAAATAATTTGACGTTGATGAATGCGGTGCACACTGAGAATTCTACTGCAAGAAACTCAGCTATTGGGGCAACAAGGTCCTTCGTTTAGCAAGTACACATAATGGTTTAACACAAAAACGTTCCAAGCAACATCCGCACCTATGGGAGGACAGTACAAGTAATGAAGAAGTAATGTCTGAAAATGTTTTTTTTTATGACGGTTGTAATGGCGCAAGTAAAAGTACTATGGTTGAAACTATCAATAAATACAGTTAAGCTTTATTTGGTCCATCGCGAACGTTATTTACCTCTTTTGCTAGTTGCAGGGCTTTGGTCAATGAGGCACCGCGACCTTTTCTCATTTTACTGATGTAATCCATAAGAGCTTCATCCGAGTCAAAGTTGGTTGTGAAACGAACCAAGCGTGATGGTTCATCGCCATACACTATGACTGCATACATGATGTCTCCTCTGCCGTACTTGTCAATCATGGCGTTAATAATGTCTTTCATCTGCCGGAAGTTTGCTAATTCATTCAACTGCGCGTTGGCACTGATTGCAAAAATCATGTCAACTTCAGGAACTTCCACAATGTCTGAAAGAGAGGGAAAAGAACATCGTGTTTCACATTTTTTTCCTTAAGATTTTCTAACGTTTCATAGTCTGTAGAGAGACAGTTACAAATATCTTTTGGAAAAAATGACAAGCTGCCTCGCTACATTTATTGATCTTCCTGAATAGCCTGACAAAGTATGAATACTTACCGCGTCCACATCCAAAACGATCAAAGTTTTAAACTCAAAATTAGTATTGTTGTATTTTAGGGGATAGCGTTCACCATTAGCCCTCTTTTGAATGGTCAAGCACTACGATTTTATGTACAAATTTCACTCTTTCGAGACTATCTGTTCTAGATTACAAGCTTGGTGGAGAGCCACGTTTTACTGCATTCCAGGTGTTTAGAAAGACATAACCAACAGGAACGTGCGAATTTCTACGTACATTACAAACGTTAGAGTCTAGTTCGACATAATTATTACTTGATTCTCATACCAGATATTACTTTAGCCATAATCTTCTCTGCAAGCTTTTCAGGATCTGCCGTTTTCTTTGCTTTCACCAAATATCCCTCAGCTGAAGTAATGTTCTTCAGTTCATTCACATCAGCATCGGGACCGATTCCAACTGGCACAATCTTGATCTCATCTTCCTTCAATGGTTTAAGTGCCTCCTGGATTTCCTCCTCTTCGTTAATCGATTTCTTGTCCATGATTACCACCAGCACTTTCTTCGCATTCGGACGAGGTGAAGCTCGATCAAATAATCTCTTAGCTACTGCCAAAGCTTTCTGAAGATCGGGGCCTCCAGATGGCCGAGAGAAGGAGTTAAGATATGTTCGTATCTAGAAAAGACAAAAGAGCAAAGCTGAGCGAATTACTTTGGACAAGCAAGTGAAAACCGCTGTTACAGTTAAAGTAATTTGTCATAGTCGGTATTTTGCCGACACGGAACCGAGAACTGGGTGCAAGTGTAGTACGGGAGCGCTCATGCTTAGTACGTTTGTAAAAAGGGACGGTTGAGAAACTTGCGGCATACTACGGTCAGCCTTGCCACTCGCAACTTCAGATAAGGTTTATTTATTTTTATTTACTATTTTTTTTTGGTCTAGTGTTATGGGAATAGCGTTCTCTTATTAATCTTTCGTTATATAATAACCTTTAAACCCTAAAGGTAGCGTCACCGCATTTAGTCGGGGGTACTCGGTCCCTATTTTTTTCTAGAGGTTTTTGGGGTTTGCGTTTCCGGCTTTCGCATGTAGGGTGTTATTTGATGTATCTTTCAACCACTTTGCTGTAACCTTATTGATCTTGAAATTAAAACATATCTTGGGCCTGGCTGACCAACGCGTCCATGCCTCATAACCTCTGATTGTGTTCGGTTGTGTAGTGAAGGCAAAATGTCAGACATTTTAGCAGTATAAATTAGCTTACCATGTCATCATCTGGAAGAGACAAACCAAAGCTAATAGGAGTAATGGGCTGACTTCCAAACGCCAGTAAAGCATAACGAAGTTTGTCGGTTTTGTAAGTCTGCATGATCTCTTTCAGAGTGTCTTTTATTCGCTGGAAAGTTGCCTCAGCACCGGCAGCAGCAGAACTGATAGCAAATGCCAAATCGATCTCGTCCAGTGTGGCGGTCTCTGCGACGAAAGAACAAGTTAACAAGTTAGTTATAATACAAATACTTCGGTTGTCATTGGAATATGACATTTTTGCATTCTTCTAGAGCCAACATAATATTCTATGGGAGACAATCCAAAGAAAGTCAGAGTAAGAGTAAGGTCTCGTTTGACCGTGGAAAAATTGAATATTACATTTAATTCTTTTTTCAAGAGGGCACGGTAACGAATCCTGCAATGTGACTGGTTCTCAGCGCAGTATGAATTTTCCCATCTCTGCCCACGGTAAAGCTTTCGTAAGTTTTATAACGATGATTTTAGGGAGAGAAAGAATAATATATACGTTATTTACCAGCCTAGTGTCGGTCCGTATAGTGAAAAACTGTGACCTTGGACTTGAAAATGCTGCCCCAGGTCGCAGGCCTCGGGCAGCATTTTCAAGACCTCGGTAACAGTTTTTCACTTATGGACCTCCCAGCCAGCAAATAACATATATGGGATTCTGCTACCATATCTATGATCGAGCTACAGTTCACGAACACCTCGATTATACCTAGTGAAAAATGAGTTGATATTTCTTTATTCGCTTTTAGAATAATTGATTTTTAACTTTGAGTACCTACTATGAAAAATAAGGAAAGACGCAAACGAAGTAAAAGATGCAAACGGCCCACGTCGTAGAAATTTAAAATGCTAAAATCACCGGAAATTATTGATTAGTTTTTGTGGAAAACTCGGCCAGAGAAATCACATGATCATCGCGATGTCATCGAATTCTAAGCGCTCCCTTTTCAAAATGTTTTCCGTCCACACTAAAACACCAAGCAGGCGTTTTCAAATTCCTCCGCTTTTAAGATCGTTTTCGAAAAGCTCCGTTTTCGTCGGGGATTAGTGTGGACGGGGCCTTAAGCACCACTGCTATGTCTACACATCAATTATAAGGTCGTTCCTTCCTAAGTTGGTGAGCAAAATGTAAAATATTTAATGAAGAAACTAGAAGTATCGAGTTGAAAACTTACTGTTGAGCACGCGTTCCATTATTTTTTCTACAACTTTGGTGGGTGACGTTGTATCAGTGGTATTGATGACATCATCCTTGACGTCAGTGATGTGACGCAGCTCTCCATCTCCTTCATCGCCAAGTGCGACACCAATCACTCTGATGTCACTCTCGTCAAGCCTCTGCGCGGATTTCTCGACATTTTCCGCCAGGCTCTCTGATTTCTTGTCTGTTATCACCACCAAAACTTTCATAGCGTCTGGTCTGGCGCCATTAGAGGCCTTGAAAAGCTCTTTCGCTCCGTACAAGGCTTTGTCCAGTGATGCCCGTGCTGTATTCTGTGGAATGCTATCAACATTTCCCTTTAGGATGTCATCGGGATTAGCTGAGTCGCTGAAGCGGACATGGATGGTCGGGCTTGATCCAAAGGTCATAACACTATAAGCAATCCTATGAGATCCATATTTATCAATGAACGTTTTGATGACTTCTTGCATTTTCTGGAAGTGTTCCTTGGCATTTGCTGCAGTCGCACTGATGGCAAATCCCATGTCAACCTTTGGGACAACTGGCTTACCTTAAACAAAACAGTAACATATCACTAGTTGAATCTCGGAGATGGTAGTGCAGTGTTCTCTTAAAGTATGAAACCAAAATATTAAGCAGTCTTATAGCTCTTTTAGAACGAAATGCTATTGTCCAAAAAGCTTCGTTTGTGTAGGACTATACGCAGTGTTTGCACTGCGTATTATATGCCTTTTTATAAGATAACGGAGCTTATCTGGAAAGTTCCAACTTGGTCCCACCGTTTTAAACACGACTTCTAATTAGTGTACACTAATAAAATGGTTCATTTTAATCCAAAACACAGAATTTATTACCCAACCCAAACCCTAGAATACACACAATCTCTTGTTTTGACCAATTTTCAATATTGCAATGAGGGAAAAGGACTCTCGCGGTTTATAGGTGATCATGTTGTCGCTATTTTCATCTACGTTTGAAGTTCGTTGTCATACTCACTATCGGTGATTCTCTCGGAGATTTCTTCAGCACACTCTGTTGGAAGAGCGGTGTCATTTATCTTGACAAAATTCGCTTTGTTTGGAGTGGTTGCTTCCACTTCGTCGGTATCAGCTCGGCTTCCAAAAGCCACCGGAATCACCTTGACTCCATCCTCCTCTAACTTGCTAGCAGCGTCCCTTACGTTAGCGATAGTGCTTTCAGACTTTCGGTCCAATATAACAACCAGGACCTTTTTCGAGTCGGGACGGCTGCCTTCGTCAAATACTTCCCTGGCTTTTTCTAGGGCAGCTTGAAGCGACGACCCTCCGGATGGTCTTGGAAGTCTGTTCACAGCATTTTTCAAAGAATCCTCGTTGAGTTGTTGAGTGAATTTTATCCTGACAGACGGATCTCGACCGAAGAGGATGATACTGTAGTACACTCGTTGGACTCCATACCTATCAATCAAATCCTGGATAACTTCCTTTATCTTAGCAAAGTTCACATCCGCTTTAGGTGAGATGGTGCTGATGGCAAATATAAGGTCCATATCAGGAACTGCTGGCAAATCTGATAATCGATCAAGAATTGGAGCAATGGGTCAGACAAATTCACATATACTATAATCATAATGATCACGGATAGATTCAGTTCCTAGTGAACGAAATCTGTAGCCAAAGCTAATTGTAGGACACCTTTGGAAGGGGACACAAAGTCGTCATAAGGCTTGACAGGAAAACAACCTTTCCAATCCCCAGCACGGCTACACATCCGATAACTGGTCCGTAAGGGCCTCCTTCCTTCTTTATGGGTGGTTCAATTGTTAAAGAATACAAATAGAACTTGCATTAATAAGTGATAGGCGGCTGTGAAGGCCACCACTTTCGTTCTAAAAGGAATGGATTTTTTGTGGGCCACAGGTCAAATAGAACAAGTGACAATCGAATATATTTCACACGGCCATTTGTAGGATGAAAGAGACGATTCAATCAAACCTCCCCTCATCAACAAATCATCAAGTTACAAAGTCCAAAGGAAACTATCACCGTGACATTGTTTGTATATATGATCGTAAAGTGCCACTATGATGAAATTCTCGATATCCATTTCTTTACATTTTCGTACACATTAGGTCTTTCCTAGATATCTTGCCAAATTTCAATTTTCCAACGAACATTAAAACTCGTGGTTTTTGGACCTTAATCTCCGAGAATTTACAGCCGCCATTAATTTTCCTTGTTCCAAGTCTTGGTTGAAAATTTGAGAAAATGACGTCATTTTCTCAATGAGCCAAAGTTTTTGTTATTCTTTATGCGAATTGCTGTGCTAATTGTTATTATAATTTCAACCCGTGTGGTATCTTTGAGAAAATGACGTCATTTTCTCAAA